TTGGACCGAAAATTCCAGCATCCGACTCCGACACTGACTACACCAAAGGCTCAACCGCCTACCATGCCTCGCCCAGACGTGGCACGCCTCGGAATTGGATACAGACGTATCCCCATCCTCTCCATCGGCAGAGACGTCTACCTAGATACCCGTCTACAGCTCATCAAGCTTGAAAACATGGACACTTGTCTCCCCCGCCTCGGAACGAGCCAGCCCGACCAGCGGGCCGTCGAGCGTCTCCTCTCAACGCTGATGACAGATGCCGGCGTGTTCGGCTGGGCCGCCTCCCTGCTTCCCAGCGACCTGCCCCTCCTCAAGAACCCAGCCTTCCAAAGGGACAGGGCCGAGTTCTTTGGCACGCAGCCTCGGCCTGACCCCAAGCACGTCGCGCTCCGCGAGGTGGCCTCCGTGTTCAAACTCCTCGAGACGACCCTCCTCGCCGACGGGAGGGACTGGATCCTCAAGACCCCGGCTCCCGGCCTCGCTGACATTGAGGCCGTGTGGCCGCTGCACTGGCTGGCCGGGATACCGGGCGCTTTGCCAAAGGACAGGTTCGGGCCGCAGGTGTACCCCAAGGTCTACGCGTGGATCCGGCGCTTCGACGAGGCTATCGGGCAGGCGAGGAACAAGGCGGGCAAGCCGAGGACTGTGAGCGGCGAGGAGGCGGAGAAGTTGATTCTGGGCTCGGAGTATCACGAAGGGGAGGGGCCCGTGGACGAGGGGGACCCGGAGGTGGTGAAGCTGGGGCTGAGGAAGGGGGATGAGATTACGGTTGGGCCGACTGATTTTGGGGCTACGAGGAGGGATGTTGGTCGGCTTGTCAGCTTGGCCGGCGACGAGGTTGTGTATGAGACGAGGGCCGAGGGCGAGGGGAAGCAGGAGGTGAGGGTTCATGCGCCGAGGCATGGGTTTAGGATTCAGAAGGGGAGGGAGGCTGGCGCGAAACTGTGATCTTCTTTACTCGGATTCCATTTTTGGTTACTTGGCCTCTGTCGTGTTGCTGGGATGATTGTATGTTCAGGAATCTGGGACTAAGCAAGATGTTTGATGTGGTGTGGAGGAGGCGCGTGCTTGTGGGTTATACATGGCATCGCATTACCCCGTGATTCTGTTTGTGGTTTTGTTCACCGATTTTTTTTTTATTTCACTCGACCTATCCAAAGGTTCGTGCAAGCACTACGTCAGGAAGGGTCCCAATGAATTTCATACTCAAACCAGAATCGTAATGCACTGCGTCATACACTATGTAGACACGCATCAGCAGCTAAAAAAATAAACAATCTGCTAGTTTTGCTTCATCCAGGGGGGCTTTGTTTGTGTAACTGAGGAACAAGTTATTAACTTTTTCTATTAATCATATGACCGATAGATTGATTAACTCATTATTTAACTTTAAATGGCATTCTATGCTACAGACCTAGTGTACCTCTTCTGAAATCTCTAATATGAAACGAACGGTACTAGGTCGCCAGCCTAAATCTCTTCTACTACATGTATAAGCCCCCAGGAACCGAAACAAAATCTGGACTCGTTGCTTTGTTTTGATGAGGTTATGTCGCATATGTGCCGTGGTATCAGCCTACGGGTGGGCATTGTGAAATCCGGAATCTTGGCGATTGAGTAAAAAACTTCAAGGCCCTGTTTCCACGGCATTCACTAAAATGTTGGCATTTCCTTTCGGGGATTGCGCGCTACCGAGTACAAAACTGTGAATCAGAAGATTGGCGGGCAAAAAGGCATCAGTCTCGAAACTCTGGGGAAAGCGCGCCTTTGCCGGGATGGTTGCACACCAGTGACGTAACTATATCACGCTCGAGGAATTGGTGAGAATGCACAAAAATGTGACTGAGCTTGCTCACCGTTATCTTAGCTGAGGCTTGAAGAAGACGCGGATCAGCATGCCATTCATTGAACAAGTACCTATGGCTCAGCAAACCTTCTTGACAAGTTTCACTCTGTTTACCAAGACGAAGCATGAGCCCAATGCGTGGACGAGTCGACGCCAGGCATGGGAGCTGACGTCATCCGGTCCTCATAGCGCGACATGATGGGGAGGAGACGAGGACAACGGGACCTGTAGCTCCATGTGCACAGTGCGTGCACAGTGCACGGGCAAAGGTGGGTCTTGCGGTTGTTGCTTCCACTGTGCCGACACTGAACCGGTATCTGGTCGAGACACCATTCAGCAGTCGAATACAGCAAGTTGCCCTGTCGCTCAATGCAGAAATATTTCTGTTGTCGCTCCGTCAATGATTATTTCTGCATGGCTTGTACAAGGCTTGCTTGCGGTGTCGTCCAGCCAAGCTGCGTGCTGTCCACCGTGCATAACACACCGCCTGCATGTGAGGAAACACGAGCAAACGAGGTACGGAGACAACTACCCAAGGCCGACCGCACGGCTGGAGAGAGTACTATACTAACTCGCTGCAGGGAGCTGCGGCAGGGCATTATACATCGGCCAGTCTCAGTTCACAAACGACAGATGGGGTGGATGGCGGTGGATGACTCGCGGTGATTGGCGCAGTTGCTCTGCAACAGATATGGCGGTTGCCTTATTTGTATGACGATTTGAACCAGAGTCTGCAAGAAGGAGGCGATACTGAGGCAGATGAGGCGAATGAGGCTCGACCAGCACGTCACCTGTAACTTTTGTTCTAGATTCAGGGGACTGCGGTTAATTAGCACTTGGGATGTATTTTCGTGGAGTTGATCCGGTCGACTTACCACTGTTGACTGGTAGCTGCTGAGGACCGAGCAGATAGCCAAGTCGAAACTGATGGAAGGACTGTGAGATTGATTCGGGCGGGCTAACGATAAGTCAAATATCTATAGTCGCGGAGCAATAGGCTGCGTCTTCAAAGTTCCGTGATAAATGATCTGCGCTGGGAATAAAAAAACTATGTCGACCCCCGACAGAACAAGAGGAAGGCCCTCGGCCAGGCCAGTCTCTCGGGTCGGTGGGCAGAGTTGACTTGGTTGCTTTGCTTGGTTTGTCAGTTCTCAATAAAACATCGACGGCCGACTCCCATAAAAGGGAGGGTCGAGTGAACTATCGCCAACTGCAACTCCAGCTCGTGCATGGCGTTGACAAGGTAGGGATGGGATGGGATGGGGTACAAGGTGTTCTAACCACTCCATCAGGGTCTGTCTGGCCCGAAGCCGTGGTGCCACCACAATCCCTCAGCCCACCATGTGGACAACTGGACATTCTCTCCTCCGATGGTAAGTGTACCCAAGTAGCATGTAATATGGTGGTATGTACTCCTTAGAAACACGCCATCCATGTGTTGTGGAGTCCATGGACACAACCCGGGATTATAAGTGGACGTCTTGATGGATGGCAGAAATTGTTGCTGCTGGGCAGATCGTCATGAGATACTCCGTATGCGACATGCGCCTCTGTGCCGACTACACTTGTGTGAAGCCATTTCTCGTTTTGGGCAGCATGTCGTGCCAGGCCGTGACGACGAGCGTGGTGATGATGCCGTGCTAAAATCCTCTTAGTACTCAACTCTAATTTGTTCGTGTTCGGTTTTCCCCCCTCCTCTCTTCTGGGGTCATCTGGAAAAGGTGCTCCGTTTCGCGTGTGAAATGGCGGACAATACGCAAACGGTACATCGTCCTCAGGTGTGGGCGGTCACTATTGGTACTCCGTACACCATTGCTGGATGAAGGCTGAAATACATCCTGATTCCCTTCAGTATTGGAGCTGGAGGTCTTTGTCCGTCGGGTTGATTTAAGAATTGCCACCCACGGTATGCATGCTGCATGCGCGTGTTCGTTATTTGGAGCCAATTTGGTCTTTGCCCGAGTTGGCTCCTTCCCCAGGTTAGATTGGGTCGTGAAGACGGCGAGCTCCCTCTCTATTACTCCGTACGGCGTATCGAGTACAGTCTCTGACGCAGGCGCTCCCCCAATTTGAATGATACAAAGTGAAGTGAGGTGATGCATCCATCCACGGTTATCTTGGTCTGGCGGTTTCTGCCTGTTCTGCAAGAATGTGCACGATTGCACGACGGCGATTTATAGGCGCATCGGCCGATTCGACGTGTCGATAAGTGGGAAGCAGCACTGATCAGTCGAGTCTGATTCGAAGGTCTCTGCCCGACATTTCTCGAGTTCCCGCACAGTGTCAGTTGCTGAGAAATCAGAATTATGCCAGCCAGTCATGCAGAGGGCAGGGTCTACGGCCGTTGCTCCTGCCCTGTTGCCTTTTGGCTCTTGCCCCGGCTGCCCCCCAAGATTGGACCCGCCCTGCTTGACCATTCTGGACGAGTTGGACGTTCACAGTGCGAGCACGGAGCACTGGTCTGGCAGAGTATGGCTGCCGGTTGCCAGCTGCCAGCTGCCAGTGCCAGCGCCAGCCAAGCCGGCACACAATAGAGCCTTTTCCTAGACACCCCCGGCGCCGCCATTCGCTTTTTTTCCTGCGCCTTCTTTTTCGTTGCTTCCTCACAACGTCATCTCTGACGTCTTTCCTTCCCCAAACTCAGCCTGAGCCCCTTCACGATCCTCGTCTCGTTCGAGCCGCTCGTCGCAATCCCACACAACAGCACGCCGCAGTCCGCTTGCAAAGCAACGGGCTCCCGACACACACTTTATTTTTTTTAATCCAGTGCTTGGCAGGGCGCAGCTTGTTTGGGTTGGAAACCACCTGGTCGTGCCGACGCCAACGCGGTGGTGCAGAGACTTTTGCCCTGGCTGCCAGTCTGTCTCCTTGCTAGTCTGTTGGCAACCAACCCCCAGCTTCATCTTGCGGGTGTAAATCTTCGCCCACTCCAGAAAGGCGCCGCTCTGGACTTGCGACGCTGCAAGATTCCACAGCTCAGGGCTCCCACCACAAACGCCTCTGACATCTGTTGCTGTCTTCTGACCTCACTAGCCCTCTTTTTTTTTTTTTCGTTTCTTCCATCTACCTCGCCGCTGTCCGCTCACTACCCCACCCGTATCCAGCCATTGCCTCGCCCCAAATATAATACATCATACATCATAGTGTCATCATGGGGACTTCTCCTGGTACCGAGTCGAAGTCCCCCAAATTGTCCAACAACAAGACATTACGACAAGGTGAGCCACGTCGAATTGTTCCTTCTCAGGCTTCTGAATTTCGTCCCTTTTTACACAGCTACCATTGCCACGCAATCTACCGTTCTGTTATCCGGTATTGCATTGTGTGCTTCTCCACCTGTCGTCATTTTCGCCTCAGTCGCAGCCCACCTCCTTTGCTTGAGCTTCAATCCACTGTGCAAGTTCGTTATCCAACCACTCGTCGTCGTTCGCATCGTTGCTCACACGCGTTTCTCATTGTAGATACAGCCTCCGACTCCAAGATCGACCCCGCCGCCGTGAAGCCGGATGGTGCGTCTAATGCGGAAACTGCTAAACCTCTCGCACCACCACCCCGACCCGGACAACAACCACAAGGCAATAATACCCCCGACTACTTCTCTGGCCAAGTCGGCGGATCTCTCAGCCTGGAGCCCAATCCGTTCGAGCAGTCTTTCGGGGGTGGTGGTGGCCCAGAGACTCCGGGAGGCACGAAGCTTCCTTCTGTCGCTGCCTTGACCTCGCCATCTTCACTTCTGCCAGTCGGAAATAATACGCCGTTCAACTGGGGAGGAGGTTCGCTGCGCACCGGTCCATTGAGTCCTGCAATGTTGTCGGGACCGGCCAACGATTATTTCAGTGACGCGCATCACTTGCGAGGCGGATTTCCAACGCCAAACGAGTCCTCGTTGAGGTCAGGACTTACACCTGGAGGCAGCGGGTCCATGTTCCCGGCTCCAAGCCCCAACTCTCAAGCACTCTTCGCACAGCTTGCCAGTGGAGGCGCGACTCCAAGCACGATAGACTTTCATCGAACTGCCATGAGCGCGGCTGCCGCCAAGCGCGAGCAAGGACAGCCTCAAACACAATCGCAACAAGTGACATCACAACCAGCAGACATGCCAAACGGTGCGACGCCCACTGTTAAAGCAGAGCCGAAACAGGCATCCGGGCCTTTCGATCCTCACGACAACGATGCCGCCAACGGCCTCTTCATGCTTGCGCAAGGCGCGCAAACCAGAAACGGGAACCAATCATCACAATTCTCTACATCTAGTGCGCCCAGTCACGCTCATCCTGCGCCAGCACCTGCTCAGAACTCCAACACATCGCCCCAAATGTCGACCGGAAATGCTGCGTCAAGAGGTGCCAGCGAAGGCACCAATGGGTCGGAAGAGGCGGAACAAACCAAGCCTGCGGCCAAAGGAAAGGGTAAGAAAGCCACGGCTGCTAGTAACGGCAGAAGGAAAGCCGATGATACGCCAGCCAAAGCCCCTCCCAACAAAAAGTCCAAGGGCAACGCTGGTGCAGCTAACGGGATGTCACCTGAGGTATCGGACGAGGAGGAGGATGACATGGGAGACGATCCCAGTTCCAAGACAAAAATGACGGATGAAGAAAAGCGCAAGAACTTTCTCGAGCGTAATCGGTAGGTTGCTTCTTCCCTTACCACATGATGTAAACTCTATCCTGATGTGATATGTTAGTGTTGCTGCCCTCAAGTGTCGGCAGAGGAAAAAACAGTGGCTCGCCAATCTACAGAACAAAGTCGAAATGTACAGCAGCGAGAATGATGCGCTTACAGCTCAAATCACCCAACTAAGAGAAGAAGTTGTGAACCTAAAGACTTTATTATTGGCACACAAAGACTGTCCAGTGACCCAGCAGCAGGGCTTACACGGTACTTTTATGTCTGGGGTTGTTGAACCTTTCAACGCCCAGATGAACCCTTACGGAATGGCCGGCCCAATGTCCAACCAGCAAGTCATGGCTGGTCAAAGCATGCAGCGCCGATTCTCATAGAACGGGGAGGCGGGTTTTTGAATTAGCGGACAGACCATGTGTCGACATGATCAGGAGGCGGAGACAGTTGATCCAGCTTCTTCTTTCTTCCACATACGGGATCTTCCGCGTGTCGTTGTGATGAGAGAGAGAATGGCATGGACTCCGAGGCCTCAAGCAAGCCCTCCCTACCTGTGCAGCCTCGCGCCGCATCGGTTGACCGTGCAGGGCCGGAGAGGCATTTGTACAAATTTTGGTCATTGTGCAATTGAGCTGTACAACAGTATGATGAAGATTCATATGGTCTGTTTGGGATATTGGGCAAGTAAAGAAAATGACGACTCTTGGAGTCGAGCCTCTTTTCATTTTACGGGCTGCGGGACATGACGTTTGGTTCCCCATGAACAGAATGGGTACGCTGTCTGGCTCCGTTACGCACTTATTTATGTATATTCTGCGGAGCACACGTACATCAAAAGGTGTTTAATAGGGCGAGTTCTGATTTTGCTGGAGGCGTTGCGGAGGAACCGGTACTCGTGTGGACAGCACTCTTGCGGACAAGGTTCTTGGGGTTGATTGGCTTGTTTTAGTGTATTACAAGGTAGCTGTAGGCAACATGATGCTACGATTTGAGCTATATCATGGAATGAATCGACAGACTTGGCAGTTTGACGATGCATAGCGACTATCCAATGGATGAATCCGGCCAACGGGTTTACTGGATGGTGTTGGTAGTACTTGCAAGATGCATCACTCCGGTCCACAGAGCTTGTATGCCCGCTGCGTACCTAGTAGCTAATACAATGGGATGCTTATAGCTCTGCCGTTTAAAACTCTTGAAACGCTGAAGAGCCGCAAAACCTTGTAGTTGACCATGGAGAGACATGGAACCAAACTGCATGTGTTGTGTCTGGTGAGACTTGCCTGTCCAATCACGGAGACTGGTAAGTTAGGTAGCCTGTAGTGGTGGGGGGGTGCGAGCTGGCCTGAAAGGGTTTAGCGGGACTGTTGAGGTTCCCTCACCACCTTCTTGGGAGGGTAAACAACATGAGCCAAGTTCTCTCCCGGACGGACTATCGCCATTCCCGCGCCTGCGGTTGCTCTCTTGCGAACATCACTTCCCCTGTGTAGTTAAAACGCTAAAAGCGCCAATCAAGCGGCACAGGCGACACCAAGGGATTTTTACGGCGCTGGCTACTGAGCCCAACGCGACGCATTTGACGCGACTGTTACTGGGCAAAGGTCACCAACCACGCGCGACGACCCCAGCTGGGTGGCTAACCACCACCGCAACCAGCGACCAACATTGGTATTTTTGCAGCCTTCTTTGCTTCCAACAACATATACTCCATGAAATCGCCCAATTAGCCATCCATGACGACTCTCGTGGCGACTCAACGGGCGCTAGAACATCTTAGCATGAGCAACCAGCAAGAGCGCCGACGGAGCAAGCGTCCAGCCGGTAGGTTTTATCACAGAAGCGGGAGCGTATGGGGGATACTGAATGATGTAAATGCTGACATTGGACATAGGCGCGGCTGAATTTGAACGGGACGATGATTTCCAGTTTGTGCGAAAGTCTAAAAGGTCGAAGACGGAAGAGTCCTCGGGGAGCAAAACGACAGGCGGCGGGCGGATAACGGCAGAGCAAGTCGTGAAAGAACCCACAACCACAGCATATAAGGCCACTACTCCATCAACATCAACATCGGCGACACCGGGTACACGGAGATCCTCGCGGCGGAGACAGGTTGCCGACGCATCTCATGAAGATGAGCCTCAGACGAACAGGAGACCAACGAGGACGAGCACTGGGGCTGTTACAGCCGGGGCGGATGATAACGCTGAGGGCATGATATTACGCGGCACGTTAAAGGCAACGAGCCCGAACAGAGAAAAGGCATCGAAGCCAAGACGATGGGAGCCTTCGCCAACTCCGCGGCGGCCAACTGAGTCCAAGATTGCGCTTCCCATGAGTGATACCCCAATTATTAATCGAAACAAAGAGATGCGCAAAAAGGGCGGAAAGGGGAATAGACGGAGCAGTTTAGGGTCCCGCGGCCGGAGAGCCAGTTCACTGATAGAGAGCGGGCAAACAGCAATACCGCATCGCGATGTGAATACGGCCGAATTCTACAAGCACATTGAATCAGAGGGCTTGCTCGAACCAAAAAGGATGAAGCAATTGCTGATGTGGTGCGGCGAGCGTGCCTTGCCGAAAAAGCCGCCTCACGGGACACCGAATTCAAGCGCAATCTTGGGTGGTACGTACTGGAAATATAGCTCAACGGGTGATGAAAGACTTGCTGACTGGATATAGCCCGAGCGATTCAAGACCAAATATTAAAGGATTTCGCTCAGCGGGCCGACTTTTCAAACTGGTTCAGCAGGGACGAAGATGCGCCGAAAGAAGCGCTCATCTTGAAGCCAAATCCCCGGAATATTGAGCTAGACGAAAAACTGACGACGTTGGAGGCGAAAATCAAAATGTAGGCATCAATTGACGCTTGATCAGTATGTTAGGCATGGAATGCACGCATGCAATGCTAACCCGCCACTACTAGATTACAAGATGAAAAACAAGCCTGGCTGGCAATATGCCAACCACCGCCCGACATTCCTCCCATATTCCCCCCCTCTACGGAGGCGCCGAGAATTGAACTTCCCGACTTCAACCTCCTAGAACCTGAAGAAGTAAAAATCCGGACGTATCTTGCCGACGAAATGATTCCCTTTGCAGACATGCGCGCGAAAACAGAAGAGAGAATACGCAAAATCCAGGCCTCTCTCGAATTCGAAGTAGACCAATTAGCAGACAATGTGCACAAGTTGGAGCAAAGGGTATTGGTGGCGGGTCGACAAGCGGATCAAGTCCTTCGTTTGAGCGCGGCACGGCTCAAGGAGCGTGAGCAGCGGGAGAAGAAGAGCGCAGGGACGAGGGATTTGCCTTTGATGGAGGTGTTGAGGAGTCTGAGTAACATTCTACCCGAGGGAGGATGATGCTGGCGGACAGACGGACGGACGGACGGATGGACGGACGCAGGATGCTGTCGCTGTGTAGAAAGTATCTGGGAGGGGCCGATGACATGTCACTAACGAGTTTGATGATGCTATGATGCTACTTTTCTTGGTTCATATGGCTCATACCTGATGGGATGGGATGAGGAAAAAGCTGTTGTGGAGGAAGGAGGCTTTCTGATGTTCTTTGGTTTAATGTGAGCGCGGAGCAATGGGTAGGCTTTGGCATTGGCGCATTGTGGTTTGCTGGGTTGGGTAAATATATCATTGGTTGATACATTGTGCAATCGAGACTTGTGTGTGTGTTCGTGTTCTGGGGTGCGAGAATGTGTCGACGGTGAGAGTTTGCTTTGCTCATGGTCTGTTGAGGGGTTTTGCATCCTTGTATGCTGAGGCATGTGAAACCGCGACTACCATTTTTGACGCTTCAAGCAAGAGTCAAGTTTGATATTGGATTCGATGCTATACAAATGGCTTCCATGGCCCGCGTCCTAAAAGTACAAAATCCATCCGTCCATCAATCACACCCCCTCCCCTACGCATCATCTATTTCCCACAACCCACACCTCGCTGGTCAGCGGTCCTCCAAAGCAGGCATAAACGCCATCCCGCCGCCCTCGCCGCCATCGACGCTCTTGCTCCTCACGTGCGCCCTCAGCATCTCCAGGACCTCGCTGCCCCTCCACCGCTCGGGCACCGGTCTGTACGCGGGCCTGAAGTTGCCCACCGTCTGCGCCCACTCCCCCTTGGGCGGCTCAGACCGAATAAACGCATCCGCGTCTGCCTGCGCGCTGCCGCTGCCGCTCGCCGCCTCCACCGACGGGTTCGTCGACGTATACGAGTCCGAGGGCTCGCGCTGCGTCGCCCAGTAGTATATGTCCCAGTCGTTCTCGTCGAGCAGCGCGTCGTACTGCGCCAGGAGGCCGCCCGACATGCTGGGCAGATGGGCCTTTGCAAACGTCGAAAGGAGGAGGTCTGATTCGAGGGTTCCTCGTTTACGGGATTGGTCTTGATGGGGATTTCATTAGCTTTTATTTTTATTTTTATTTTTTTTTTTTCCATCTTGGAAGTTTGAAGAGAAAAAAAGTAATATTGGGGTGGAAGAGCGTACAGAGGAGTCGTGCGCGTTTGGTGTCGTCGTTTTCGCCGACTCGCTTGATGGGCGCGACGCGGAACTCGATGCCTTGCAGCTCGCCGACGCCTAGTTCGCCCTGGGACGGCATGGGCTCGGCTTTGGTGGACGAGTATCGCGGCGTGGTGGTGAGAAGCCGATGGGGGAGGAGCGCTGCGCGCCGCGCTGCTGCGGTTGTTACCGGCCGGATGGACCGGAGGGACGTGGCCATTTTTTTTTTTTGGAGTTCTTTTATCGCTTGTTCGATACTGATATGATGGAAAAGTGCTGGGTGGACGGTCGGTTTAAGTGTTAAATGTAGAGTTGGTGAGAGGTAAGAAGCCGAGAGGGAAAGCCATTGCCGAAGAGGAGAGACCGAGGTGGGCCTGTGGCGAGGCGACATCTGCGGAGAGCACTTCGTACTTTAGTGTGAAGATTTCTTACGCTATCAATTGCTTCTTGAAACCGTGCACTATCTGTGCTGCTCGACCCTTGAATGCGTTGTATTTTGTGAACAGAGTTTGGTACCGGCGTCAACCGCCCTTGCTACTTGAAGCCATCACATGCGAAACCTCACTACGACTTCATGTAAATCCACATATTATCGCCATTTAGGTCTACCGTAAATGCTGCCAACCAAATAGCCCTCCGACCTTGAATATCGGCTTTTTGATACTCCTCTCCCTTCTTATTCCCTTGTCGTCCATCATGATGTACAAACGCCAGCATGCCGGGTTGTAAGTAGCCGCCAACTAATACAAATAAAGACATAGGACGGCCAACCCAATGAAACTACCCAGTTGAGAGACAAAAACCACGCCCCGTTTCGCAACTACTCTAGCCTTCGAATTTCGAAATATCGCCCTTCAAAAGTCGCTCTGACACACTGAATCGCGACAAGGAAATAAAAGGACACCATGACGACAGGGGCATACCGAGAATTTTCTTTGCCTGTCTTGTACTGATTCCCACGGACGGAAAAGAAACGGCTTCTAGATAAGATGCTTGGAACGGAAGTAAGCCCGCAGGTACATAATCTGCCACGCCCAGAGGCCAATCAAAATCCAGGTAGTTGTGACGCCGAACCACTTGACACGGTTGTTGGTGCTCTCGTTGGTGTCGCGGAGCTTCTGCTCTCGCTGGCGGAGGTAGTCCATTTCCTGGACGATTTCCTCGGTCAATTCCTCGATACGGCGGAGTTCAGCCTCGACGGGCTTGAGCTTCTCGGTGGCCTGGATGGCGCTCCAGTCCTTGGCGTCGGCGCCGATGTCGATGTCGAGTTCGACGTGGCGAGAGGCAGGGTTGGGTCGGCGGGCTATGTGCACCAGTTAGTTGGCAGAAGACGCAGCTCGTTGGCTCCAAGGACCTTTGGAAACCGCGACTTACAGCCTGACAACAAGTTCTCGAAGCAAACGTCAAAAGCTGCATCGGTGTGAGACTGAAACGTCACTCTTGACTCGCCGACGATATCTCTAGGACGGCCGTACTCGTTGCCCAATGCATCGCGAACCTGTCATTCATGCAATCAGTACCTGGACTAACCAAACGCCCCAACTGTTTCCCAATTCACCCCTTCCGGCGGAAAAATCCGTGACATACGTGCATGTTGACAACCATTCCATCGCTCTTGAACCCGTCCACCTTAGCCGTGACAACAACCAGCGTCTCCTGTCCGACAAAGTTGCGAATACACCTCTCCTTCTTGGTGTTCTCGCCGCCACTGTGCGCAATAAGATCAAACTTGAGTGCGTTGGCGACCCCAACAAGTACCAGCAGACTGCAGAGCCACTGCAGCGTCGAGCGTTGTACTGCCATGGTGTTTTTGCGTTGCGTCGATGTGTTGACGTTGACATGCAAATAGGGATACGAAGGGAAAGGAGGTTTATCACAGTCCGCACAACATGCAGAGCAGCACCTCTTCGAACTTGGGGAACTTGCAAGGTGTCGCGTTTACCAAAATGGTGTGGAACAGGGGGCATCCAATCAGGGTTGATTTCGTGAATGCTTGCACCTGGACCCCCCCTGCGCTCTCAAAAGTCTACAAGTACCCTAGTCGAGTAGCTCCAGATCCTTAGTCATGTGTGGGGCCACGGCGTAGAGTGTAGCCTCGTGTGGATGCCATGGCTCTTTTCGTCGCGACGAGGGCTTCCCGAAAAACCAACATCTTGAACCTTTGGCGATTGAGCTGTCACACTGCTGGTGCTGATTGCTGGACAGGACATCAAAATGCCGAAATGTGAGTCGCTTCCTCCACACCAACTAACGGGTATAATACTCATGCTAACCTTCCAAATAGTCTTTTGTATGCTTGAACCTGCCACACCTCGAATCCCACCCAACTCATCACGAAACTCACACCATCTAGGCGACTACTGCGATGTATACCTCACCCACGACTCCATGAGCGTGCGCAAGGCTCATAATAGTGGCAAGAACCATTTGCGCAATGTGGTAGACTACTACCAACGTACGAGCCCACCATACTCGGTCCCCTCTCCGTCTCATGATATCCCTCCAAGAGACCATACATCTAACAATCTGGCTACAGAGATCGGCCACGAAAAGGCACAGTCAGTCATCGACTCCATCACCTCATCCTATGCTGCCGAGGGCCAAGCACATGCGAACCCCATGCTTCCTCAAAACCAGCCGGGCAATGCTTTCCCGCCACCATTCCCATTCCCAGGTACAACTGTCGTCGCAGTCGACCATAATATGCAACCATACTGACCGTATCGCAGGCGGCCCTCCTCCATTTCCTAGTATGCCTGGCGCTGCTCCAGGCCAGCTCCCCCATGGAGTGCCCCCTCCTCCTGCTGGTGGCCGTGGCGTTCCTCCTATGCCTCCGTTCCCTCTCGGCCCCAATGGTTTACCTGTTCCTCCGCCCGGCGGCCTGCCCTTCCCTCCACCGCCTGGAGGGCTTCCGTTCCCTCCTCCGGGGGCTTCCGGCGCGCCTCCAGGATTCCCTGGTATGCCGGGCATGCCGCCTCCTCCAGGGCAAGGCTTTCCTCCTGGCTCTGCTCCGCCGCCTGGCTTCCCGGGTGGTCATGGTGCGCCTGGACAGGATAGAAGGTGAAAGTTAGAGTCAAAGGGAGAGAGAAACCCACGGGGGCATAATTCATTCGTTCAAGTTTGTATTTGGGAGTCGATTGGCGTTAACGGTCAGCTGAGAAGTAGGTCTTGGCATACCAGGCACCGCAACATTTGGGCAAATCAAGTTCTGCTACACTAGACAGTGATTCATTCAAGCCTTTTATGTAGTTTTCAATTGTACTATTGCAAAAAGGCGCACAAAATTGTTTTCATTCTGCAACGCTTGCTCGGGACAGCAAGACAACCTGTTATTGCAGCACACAATCACATCTATAATACATGCTCGTAAATCTTTCCCTCTTCTGATGTCGTTACCATGCCAGAGACAGCAGTCATCGAAAGCAATATAAGACCGCTCAAGGCAAAAAAATTTGCAACAAGAAAAAAAAGCCATAAAAAAATACGCATCGAAATCAAACTCGCAACAATTCATCGGTATTCCACAATTTCGCAATCATCATTGCATGAGCTCAATCGAACACCGGGTGCCCAATGCCCATACCAAATAAGCTGGATATAACCTTTCCCATAAAATTTCACCGTAATCATAACCCGTCAACGTCATGGCATTCATAACTTGTACTTCCGTGCAAGGTGTGTGCGTCTTCTCAAAGAGTCGGGGAGTCCCCCGACCACTCCCTCAATTTTTCGCCCTTTTTCGTTTCGTCCTTATCACCCTGATCATTATTGACCGATCCCTTGAATCCTTACCCCTTGATTGTCTATATTTGATCAGGATATCCGTTTTGTAGACCTTTAATGTGGCTGTTTCTGATGACATCGCCAACGCCATCGCGAACTTCTCTTGGTCCACTAATCATCTGTCGAAGCTCCTGTGTACGCTTCTCTCGTCGTCTCTCATTCCACATTCGTGTCAGGCTTGGGAGCCCCTCAATCGCGAGTTTGCTGCTCAGCGAAGAAGAGTTGTGCAACTTCTCATGGCTTGGCCGCTTCCGTAAAGAATGCCCGCGCCAGAATCCCTTCTGCGAGTTGCCCTCTGAGACAGGCCGTTGATCATAGTTAATATTCGGAATTTTCTTCAGCGATTCAGAACTTGCTCTCCGACGCATTACTTTTAAATTGCCACTGGGTGTTCGTTGGACTGTGCGGCGTTGAGGCCCGTGGATATCGTCAGCCTCATATTGTTTTTCAGCCCGGGATGGCAAGATCGCGAAAGTCTGCTTCATTTTGGTGCTCAGACTTCGCTTTGTGGGACGTGGTCGATTGTCAACTGGGGGATATCGATAAATTTCGTCGTCCACCCAAACTCTGCGGCGACAATCTGCACAATCACAAAAATCTTCAGTTTCCCACTGCGGACGCCAGTGAGGATGCAGCCTGTCTTGTTCCATAGATTCATCTCCTCTTTCCCCGTAATATGGATCCATGTCGGAATTGATATTTCTGGGCCCTTGTGAGTCGAAAGACTTCCGGGCGCTTCGCGAAAGAGAAAATGTTCTGGTTAGGAAGCCCGGCTGCTTTGAAGCACTAGGAGGGTACCCTATGGAGTGTCTGCGTCGGCTTAGGGCTCTCCGAACAATTGACGATCTTCGACCGGGTTTCCCATTCTCTGGTTCATAAAAACCTGCAGTTGGCTCTGCTTTTTCACTAGCAGGTGTTAAACCAGATGGCGTGGCAGGAATAAAGTTGATCGCTGGTGGGAGTGCAGGCGGATCCGGCGGCGCACGAGGGTTTCGAAGAGGAGAGTCAACTTCCTCCGATGACTGTCGTTGTTCAGGCGTCACTAGGCCGCCTTCGGGGCTGGTAGCTGTGATTTTCGGAGGCTCATTTGACTCGACCGTCTTGAGACCCTTCTCCGTAGAGTCAGATGCATCTGAGTGCTTGGCAGAATGATTCACCAGCAAAACTGATGAGTTTTGGTGGGGATACATATGAATAGCCTGCGCTTCAGATACTTCGAGGGCCGTCCAATTGGTTTCTACCGATACTACGGAGAATGGCGTCGTGCGAGATGAGTACTTCCTTGCTGACGCTGCATCATCGTGATGATCTGTGCCAGGGTGCTCAATTGCAAATCCACCCCCTTCAGACCTAGGAGTCTGCGGAGAGTGCACTGTGATGACGGGTGATGTCACTGGTGGTACTGGCGGTACTGGCAGTGTCGGTATGGCTTGTCCTGTGGCAGAAGACGTTGGTGGTTCTGTAGGCATAGCTGGAGACGGCAATGTCTTGGTAATTTGGCGATGTACGTCGTTCAAAGCCTTAAGACTTTCGGCAGTCAGAGAGCCAGCCCGGGAGGTAGTGCGGCTTGTCGGGGCCGACAGTGACGACGAGCGGGCCGGGATAGTGGGTGGAAAATCAATAGTTCTCTGCTCCGACCGTTCTGACACAGACGTAGATCGGTCCCACCGCGATTGCCTCTCGAAAGACAGTTTTTCACTTGGAAGAGGCGATCGATCAAGAGGGAAGGACCCGACACTTCGGGTCCGGGAATGTCGGCTTGATGTGGAGCGCAAAGAAGGTTCTCTTGACTTTGACTTGTTTGATGACCTTCGATCAGGAATGACCACTACAGGTATGCCGCCGTTCTTCCAAACTTCACGTCTTGCTTGTCTACTAGGTATTGGTTTTGTGCTAGCCGTGGAAGTGTAGCTGTCATGTCGCCGGGCAGGCTCATTTCGCAATGGAGATGAAAAGGGCCATGTATGATCCTGCAATTCAAAAATGTCTGCAACGGCCTGTCGACCACATGGGCTTGTCTCTCTGAGTTCTCTTCGCTTGCGAACATGCCGTAAGGTCTTCTGTCTTTGAGGTGGAATTTGATTATCCACCAGTATAGCTCCAATCACAGTGGAACGTGAAGACTGATAAGAGAGACCAGACGATCTTTGCGACTCGATATTTCCCTTCAGTTCCAGGGGCGCTGTATTCAATCCTGCGCGCTTTTTCTGCGGGGTTGTTTTGGGCGATGACTTGGCTATGGCGGTACTTTGAAGAGACATGCCTCGGACAGCCTCTGTCGCATTTGTAGGGGTGATCATATTATCTTCTATCGCCGCGCTGTTCTCCGAGGTTGCCCGCGTGGTCCTTGGCTGAACAGGCTGGGGACGGCGTCTGCCCACAGATACCATTCTTTCGAGATTATTATCCCATTCTTGCTCTACCCGATTGGGAGAGTTCCACTCGCCGCCAAACTGAGCCAATTCGCCGTGAGTCGGGGGAGTGTAGCCCTCGGCTGGTTTCGCATTTAGGCGTTCGAGGGCAAGGCCCAAAGCCTGAGGCTTGACCATATGACTAGTGGCGTTTACGGGTACTCGAGAAACTGTAGTTTGCGATGGCGTTGACGAAGTCACAATGGTTTTCACAGCTGACATGACGGCTTCATCCTCAGACGACAGCGGTTCTTCTCGGGCAGTCTTGAACGATTCGGTGCGAGAATCCGTTGCGATGGTTGCAGTCCGAGAGCGATCAAGAGTTGCGGGACGTAAAGCGCGTGGTCGGCTGGCAGGCTGAGGCGGCGTAACATCAGGCGTTGGGGGACTACGTTGATCTGGTGGCGTTGCCGGCGGTCGTTTTGACGAGACTTGGGGTGTTCGAATAATGGTGTCAAGAGGTGGAGGACTAGATGGTTGAGCTGGATAACTACCTGACGAGGCGCGAGAGTAGTTTGGAGGAGTAGGGGGTAAATCAGGGCCAGTCCCTATTCTCCGCGGTTGATGCTTCAAAGTTCGTGGACTGGAGGCTTGGGAGTCTGGGACGCCAGGAAGAGCTGATGTGTCGATGTGTAGGTCGTAGGCTGCGGGCACCGATGGAGAATCGTCAATAGCTCGGTCATGGCGTGGGCGAGGCAGAACTTTGCGCTTTTTGAACTGCCGCTGAGCATTTGAGCCCGCCTCGAATAGGCCTTGGTCATAATCAGGTACTGTCGGTGCCGTCATTGTGGGCGATGAAATGACGGCACTCGGCTTGAGCATGCTCGATGAGTGAGGGGAGGAGACGCAGGGGCAGAGAGATTTATATAATGTTCTCTTGTGTTGACTGTCTTGAAACAAGGGATTCTGTGCATACTGAAGGTTCTGGCGACGCCATTCAATTGGACAGGTGGCTCAACATGAAGCAAACTGGGTAGCTGCCGCGGCGCCAGGGTAACCTTGGATGGGTAATAGATGTCCAGCTGGTCCAAAGCGCGTGGAAGGCAGCAACAAAGATTAGACAAGGGACAATATTAAAGGGGCTCCCGAGGCATGGAAGCAAGTAGGTATGTGTGCGATAATGATGGTGGATAGGGGCGAGACAGGTTTGCGATGCGGATATGGGTGCAGTGTGACTCGGCGGGTCCTGAGGTCTGAGGTCTAAGGTGAGAGATGAGAGATGGGAGCGAAAAAAAAAGACTCGAGCAGCCAGTGAGGGGCGATGATTCCAACAATGATGATGCTTGCAAGCCTGCCGTGCGCCGGTGTGGGACGGGGGTTACGAAAGCCAGATGGGATACGAAAAAGAACGAGACAAATGCCCTAGCGAGGCGGCACAGCACAACGGTCGCGGCGATAGCCGGCGTGTCAATGCAGATTGGGGGTCGGAGTCGCTGAGGATGATTTGATCATTGCATCAAATGAGGGAGGACTGACAGTGGCAGATATTTACCCGGCAATGTGCTGGTTAATATGTCATGTGTGTACGGAGTACTCATAGTTTCATGCTCACTCTCACTTTGCGCAGGTGGGCGGCCTGGCGAAGGAAGGAAGCAAGCAAGGAGGAAGGAAACGGTGCTTGCCGGCTAGCTCATGGCTTCGTCAGTTGCATGTCATTGGATGCCGTTGGCGGAGTGGCAGCCCGGCCAAAGGAAGGAGGAAGAGGGTCGCAAGGGAAGGAAAGAACTCAAACGACGCGCGGGTCCCGCTTTCCTGCCCGTAGTGCCCGTTGGAGTGCCTGTCCTGAAGCCCCCAGGACCTGGTCTGAAAATGACGGATGGGCTTTTCTTCCAGTTCCACTCCAGAGCCACCTCCTCCACTCGTCTGTCATGTTGTTTCACACCCGCCAGTTCCACCCGTCAGTTGCACCCCTTGCTTTCAATGCTTCCCACAAACTGGTTGCACGGCCATCCAGAGGCCAAGGCTGGATGCTGACGCCACCAGGGCCGCGCGGGACGGCGCGGAAGACTACGCGGTTTGCAGGCGAATTTCACCTGACTGATTACCGAGTAGTTCACCATCCAAACGCGCCGTAACTAGTCTGGTGGGTGCGGAGCTAGGTAACAGCGCACTTGTTGGTCAGCACCTATGAGCTTTTACTGATCTTACCAGACTCTGCCCAATACCCATTTCAATTCCCTTCAGCCCAGATGCCTGGATACCCTTCTGCAGGAGTCCCGAAAACGTGGAACCGTGGAGGGGCAAGGCTTGCGCAACTTCAAAAGCCTAGGACAGGCGAACCAGGTGGCTGGAGCGTCCCAAGAACGAACACAAATCGTTCCGTATTACCGAGTAGAACGGATTGCCCGTTCTGCGTCTCGATGCCTCTCGCGGACGACACTTGCAACCGTTTCCCACACCATTCTGGTAAGCTTTGCATATGGACATCACCAGCCAAGCATCATCCATCCCCCATCCTCCAACATCAACCATCACCATCTAACTCGGACTTTGGCTAAGAGAGCAGCATTCGCCACCGTCGCCGAGCAACTATTCAAACATTGAAACTCCCGATGTCCTATCAGCGACATGAACTAGCGGCAGACAGCCCCCGAGGATGCTGTGTCATATGTCGCTGCGCTGGGCGACATTGTCAACAGCCTGCGTTCTGGTTCCCTGTTCTGCCCTCGCATTGGTAACTTGAACTGCCGACTATTCCGTACTCAGTTCTAAACTATGGAATGCCCAACTCACCCACCACCCTCCATTCCGTACAATCCGAATGAATTCCTCCACCACTCTACCACCCTGCATCCAACCCTTGCAGTCTGCTGCAGTCCGGTCATGTTACTAGGTTGGCACGAGGCTCTCCGCAGTCCCCATCCTCCATCAGCAGCAACATCCCTAATGTTTTCAAGTCGACCTACCGAGTAGGTTTCGTGACAATCCTGACTGCTGGGACCTGTCGCCGCACTTTGTCCGCCTTCACACCGGCGCCATAACGCTGTCAAGGCTCCGTGATGTTGCGCTCCGCGCTTGATCATGTGATACACTGATGCAATTCAACTCGGCTTTGCTTTGCGGTTCTTGGGACCTATTATACCTATAAGACGTCTGGCCTGAATGACATTGCTCTATTTCACGCCCTAAGCGCTCTTTCCTTCTCGTGTGAGTCTTTGGACTTGCAAAACTCGTTTCACTACGCTGGCATAAAGCGGGTTCAAAAGAACAGTTGCATTATCTGAAAACAAAGTAAATTTTTATTGCCACGTACGGAGTATGCACAAATGCAATTTAATACCGAGGCATCCAGGTCTACTGCACGATACACTAGCAACAGCTTGACAACCATGTCGAAAGGCCTATTGAATTAGGCCTTTATTATGCCCTGGGAGTCATGGCTAACGGGACGCCAGTTTGCAAATCATGCTTGACGTACTCCGTGTGAGAGCAGCATCTTGCATGGCACTATCTCTACCCTCAGCAAAAGGGCGACAGCTTTGAACACCTAAATGGTTCTTTTTAATCATGATGCTAATATTGATAGAAGAGGGCGGGTGTAATTTGTTCGCGCACAAGTTACCCGTCTTTGAGTAATAACCACCAACATCTTCGATCTTTAAATGTCAGCCAATGATCTTTCCTTAGCCTTGTTTGCGCCTACGTTTGCGTTTGCACTGGTTGTAACGAATTGGGAGTTGACAATGAGACACATGCTACTTCTCACTTTCATGTCACTTTCTTCTTAGTTTTCTCTCACCTGACTTTCACCTACTTCTGACGACATAACAGCATGGACCGTATTCTCCCAACGCCACTCACTTTGAGATCCTCAGCAGCAACCAAATTTTAGAGCCCAGAGAGTATTTTTTTGGGTACTCATCGCATGACAACGACACTCTTCCGATGGACTCGCACTCTAGAATCACAAAAAGTGGTGCGAGTCATCGAATGAACAGACCAAAATGTGCCTGCGACGAATGTCAATTCGAGTTCGAATATGAGACCCTGACACTTACGCCGCCCTCAGACTTCACCCGCACGCTCAATGACGATGAAGTTCGCTCTCTGCTGTCCGGTTTCATCAAAGATGCCACTATTGCCAGAGCTTTCTTGAAGAATAGCCTGGAGAATCATGGGGACGCTATCATGTCGCGGTGGAGGAAGATGAGCCAAGCCAAACGTCGGGCAGTTCTCGAAAAAATCGAGCCCCCCATTGCAAACGAGATAAGGTCGGACATGCGATGCCTGTATGATTCGAGAGTCACCCACTTGGGTAACAGAGATAGCATCATTCGGAAGCAGTTTTTATTGCCATGGTTGAGCATTAACCGGCTTACGGCCAATGTATCCGTATTGTTTGCCTTGTTGCACGTTCGAACCGAGTACCATCCATATGAGTGGGCATTTTTTGACTTGTGTCAGCTAGGTGAACCCTGGAAACACGAATACCTCAAACTCGAGTACTCAGACAAATTTATCTACATGCAGGGAGCACGATATGGGTCAGTTGTGGAGGACAGTCATTATGGTGTTGTCCACCACGTTCTTGGGTTACCCTTTCCTCAAGCATCGTCGGTCCTGGAGGCACAGGCACATTTGATGACTTTACTCTGCAAAATTGTTGAGGGCGTACTCCATGGTGCCGATACTTCAATTATTCATGGTTGTGATAGATGGAATTCTCAAGTCGCTTCTGGATGCAAGCACATCGGGAAGGTCGAGTACTGGTCAACCTACATTAACCAACCATTTTCGAGGCCAGTAGGCGAAGATCTGGATTACATCATCTCTTTGGTGAGATCCCGAATAGAGGAAACTGAAGATCACTTCTACAGCCTTCAGATGAAGCCAGCATACTTTCGACAACATATCAAAAATACGTACAACAATACGCACTCCCAAACGATCGCAGAGGCTGAAGCCAGGTTGGGTGATGCCTTGTTTGTTGAATGTATCCTGCTTTTCTCTCTTGGAGACTGTGAGCAACAATGCATCGAGTTGAAGAAGCTCCTTTACAATGAAATACCTCCTTCAGAAGATAGGAACTGTCTACGCAAAGCTCAGGTGCGAGCACTCGACCAGTTGGAGAATGATATTTGGAATATGGCTTGCTTTCATAGTGTAAATCTCTACCGCGCTATGACAAATTCTGCAGAATTCAAGCACTTTTTTAACTACGAAAGGGTTCTTTCATTCTCACCGTGTATACCAATGCATGCAGCCAGATGCCGAATAAGTCAGATATATCAGAGAGATCCGTTGGCATGCTACCTTCTCCACCTTGGGAGACTTGAGGTTAGGATGTGCCAGCAATTTGGGGAGGCAGGCCTTGTTGCAGCCTTGGAACACCATCTCCAAAACAATCCTGGGGAGCTGAAAAGAGTGAGTCCTGATATGATGCGCAGCATCAGCACCATAGCCGCCGCAAGCGAAGCTACACATCATTTGAAACTATTTAGGCACAGCTCGTCATGGACTCGGATGAGGGAACGGGACGAAGACGAAATGATCGCCCATCAGGATTGCGCAAACTGCGTGTATTGCAGACAGGAGAACCCGAAAGCACAATCAGAACCAAAATCAAAAAGAAGATCAGAATCATTTGAAGAGGTCGGAAAGCTGTTGTTGCGTGACTTTTACAATAGGCCCCCGCCGAGTGGCCCCAAAAACATGGCTCGACTCCAGGAATCTAGGTATCAACGACACAGTATAGAATTGTTCTGGGAAAGCATGCGTAAGGGAGTGAGATGTGGTTTCGAGGAACGGTCTCTCCGGTACGAGACAACCCGCAGAACAATTGCTGCCCTGTCAGTGCATCTCACTGCTGAGTACGAAGAGGCCATACAAAGGGAAGAGGCGTCCTTCGCAGAAATTGCCGGGATAAAGCCCGAACCAAGCCCTTTCGTGCATTTTGGCTGTTCCAGTTCCGGCAACTACAACCCAGTCCTCGAACTGGCGGCTCATTCGGACAAAATCAAGACCAGGGGCACTGAACGCGTTGGTTCAGAATCTGCCATAGAAGATAACGGCACCACAGAGAAGCCAACGGTCAAAAAGAGAGCAGTTCCAAAACAACAGCTTGAGATATTCCATCTCATTTTCCCTGTTTCTTCTGAAGAAAGATGCAGAACGATCAAGTGGGATGAGTTCGTGCACTCCATGAACCACGCCGGCTGCGTAGTAAGCAGCGGGGGCGGTTCGGCAGTCCGGTTCGAATTGCATAGCACAGCAGACGACCAAGGCACCACGACCAGCAAAACCATTATATTCCACCGCCCTCACCCGGTTCCGAAGATTGACCCCATCATGCTACGCTCCGAGATTGGCCGCCGGTTGACCAGGCGGTTTGGTTGGACGAGAGAGCATTTTGTCCTGGCTGGTGAAGACCAAACTCCAGGCGAGACGACGATAACTACGGGGGAACAGCTTTAGCCAGGATTGGACCGCTGTAGGACACAATTTGTGTTATAAGGGTTAATTTTTGAAGTACGGAATGAGAGTGCTGTGTAGATGATAGCTCTTCTAAGCGGAGAGAAAGATGTCTGATGAAACTGCATATTCACTAATGGAGCAGGGGTAGACGAGAATCAGCTGTTGAAGACGACAGTAAGCCCAGAGATGGGAAATACAAAAGCTGCATAGTTTCATGTCTTGCAAGGGTTATGGACGCAATGTACTTCACACAATGGATGGCTGTGAGAGTAAACTAGGAAAAATTCCAAATAGGATTAAGGCAGCACATGGCTCTTTCGCCCCAAGGGAATGCGCCCAGTCTCGTAAGTCTTTAAGCATCATCGTCAGACCTCCCCATGCTCACACGGCAGCTCTTGCACAACTGTTCTACTGCCGCTCCATATTGCGTCCCGAAAGGGACAAGAATACCCTCAAATGGCATGAACCTACGGTACAACCTTGTGCGAAGAGCAGTCGATGGTTCGAGTGCATCACCTTTTCTCTCTACAATGGGTCAGGGTTAGCAAACTCTAGAACGAAAAGTGAACGACGAAACAGATTGGTCAAGATTTGGGTGCGCATCGTGGTATATTGCTTGTCAGAAGCCTGCCGACTACTTGCATCGTAGGGTGGAGGAGGCCGACCAACACACATGCACTAGGAAACTGAATATCTTCGAGGCCGGCGGTGCGGAGCAAATTTATCAAGGCCTGTATAGAAATTGTGTCTGATGGTGGTTAAACAGAAAGTTATCGTTGGTAGAGTCGTCGTGTATTTTGCGGTGAACAAAGCGGACGGGTTGCTACATGGATTGCGGTCCATAGAATCGTCTCGCTGACTTGTCACGGTGGGTTGGTTTCATCTGATAGCGACTTGAGGACAGGTAATTATTATGGAAATGGGATTGCGGGGTGCAAAGGTGCATTTGATCACCGTGTTGTTTTAAGCGGTCAAGGCCGTCGCTGCCGCGAATAACACGGTCTCGACACGGGCCGTTGCGAATTGTCGAAGAAGGCATATGAATAAGAGCGGGATTGACAGAAGCAGAGATGGGAATGAAAAGCTGGCCCTGAAAGGCACGTCTCTCAGCGGCCGTGGCTGCAGAAGATGTAGCATGTATATTGGGTACCATGCGGTGCTTCATCCTCCCGGCTGACGATGAAGTACAAGTGCCTTGGAGGTTGGCTTTGGCCACTCCGCCTGTTGTATCGGATTGTTAGCATGCGGACAAACGCTGAGCAGCAATATGCTGTTACTGCTTGCGAGTGTTGGAATACCTACTACGGACACTTGGGCGTGGCTTGACATGTCCTGGAACCCACGAGCTCGCCGGATGTGCCAAGAGATGACAATAGCCTTATCGACCGGATTACCTTTAAACAAAGGATGATGATAGTAGGAGAATCTGGGGTTCAGAAGCCACTGGACGTGCACGGAGACCTGGGCAGTAGAAACCGCATCGACGAATGTGGGCTGGAGGGAGCGGAGGGAGCACAACAAGGGTCCCTGCGTCTCGTATAAGTATCGGGGACAGCTTTTCGTGAAGACAAGAAAAGAGAAAGGACCAAGTATGATGGCCAACCTGTGCACCGGGTGGCTTATTCCATGCGTGGCAGCATTGGCGCTCGCTGGTAATGTCGGTTCCGCAGGGGTAGAAAACAGCGAGATCATCGGAGCATGGAGGAGCCAAATGGTAGCCACCAATACAATGGCAAATAGTTATTTGCATCCACAGAAGAGGCGGTAGGGGCCAAAAAAAAAAGATAACACCATAAACTCCAAGGTGGCATTCCTTCGTACTCGGGTGCAGATCTCATCAGGAGGACAAAAGCGACCCTATGACGGCATGAAGGCATGGTCATGTTCTCGAGCTAGTCCCGGCGGAAGGAGCACTGGGTCGGCGCACTGGCACCACGAACCAGCGGGAAGGTGCCACCAATCTATGGGTTGCATTCTGCCAACATTGAGGGGGGACCAAACGGGTTTAACGTCTGTGGCGCCAACCCAGACCGACTTCCTACATCTTCCATCCGTCCCAGTGCCATCTTTCTTGATAATTGGACCAGCCTCTGTATCTCCAAGACCTTCCCACATGAGCCATACTGAGGCTCTAGCATTAGTCGATGCCATTTCGCCGAACACTCGGCCGCCACTCTCTAAAAACAGAATTCGATTCTCGTATATGCGCAGACTGATCCTAGCAGATGGACGTGTTCTCAAAGTCGGCCAGACACGGCTCACCTATCAAGTCCGTCGTTCGTCTCTTTGCAGCCCGATCAGGCAAATACTGTGACACTTTCAGGATGGTAATAGATTGTTGGTCCATTGACCATGGTCTTTTTAGCCGGTCTTTGTCTCCAGCACGGTCCAAGTCCAGAAAGGCCTTTCGACTGCCGTGCGCTGAGACTGGCCTAGATGATGACCTTGCCGACATTGAGACAACAGCAGCCCTGTTGAGTGTGACCTCACTGGCCCCGGCACTTTATGTGCTTCGAAGTTTGCTAGTTTGCGCTTGAGACTAATTCATGCAGGTGGCCCGGTGACACATCACCATCATCATACTTTGTAGTTAGAGCGCCGTGTGTACGACAACAAATCTGGTCATGTCCTAGTTTGCTATAAGAGGTTCGAACCGCCATCGCCCGACTCTCGAACCTCTACTTTCAACTTTGTCATTCGCTTCTGACTCGGAATACGCTGGGGCGGCTCTGCTCAGATTTTCTTCTCTTAAAAGCTTGACCACGTCGCCCATCATGAAGACCGCCGTCGCTGTATTCGCTGCTGCAGCCGCGGTTGTTTCTGCTGTTCCTAATGGAGGCATTCCTGTTGATGCCAAGGTCGCCTGTGAGAAGCCCAATGTCAATTTCTGTTTGGATGACACGACCCTCGTGGTATGCGACGCCAACAAGGTGGGCACTCGCACATTCTGTCGTGAGAGTCTTATTCCATCGCCTCCTGCAGATGGAATCGGCTTGTGCTGGCAGAGTTCGAAAGACGCCAACGATGCGGTTTGCCAAAAGGCAGTAAGTCTTGTCAGATATGCCTGGGGATAAAGGTTATGCGTTGACGTTTTGTCCCATTGACCAGTGCGTCGTCTATCATCCAACTCAATACACCATTCCTGCCGTCCTATGTAACCCTACGTACATCCCAACCGAGGTTCCCAGGTCTCCTACCTTTGGGACTCCTACTCGCACCGCTAGCATTCCTGTTGGGACCTCGACAACACCAGGTCCTGTTTCATCCAGTACTTCCACGTCGGGTGTCATGAGCATCCCAGAGGGCACCAGCCTGGGAACTGCCACACTTCCCCATACCACTCAAAGTGAGCCGGCCAACCCAACACGTTCCTCGACTGGTACTTGGTCGCCTACCGACTCTGATGATTGCCCTACTCCTACAGCCACTGGTACTCCCACTGGAAAGACCGGTAATAACACGACGTCTCATACCACTTCGCACACAGCTATCCCAACTGCTGGTGCCAGCACCAACCACATCATCAGAGCCCTCGCAGCCGCCGCCTTTTTCGCTGCTTTCTTATTCTAAACCAGTATCCACATTCCTCGGGGCAATTGCGCACCTGTTGGTGGAAAGCTTAATGCCCAAACTCCCGAAAAGGCCGACATGAAATGTGAGTAACGAGTTTAGTCGAAGCAAAGAATTCGTTCACGGATGGAAATTTGATACGAGTAATGCAGCAGTAGCGGAGGCGACCGACACGGAGATGACGCAAGGATAACCTTCAAGTTTAGCAACAAGTAGCATCAGGCTCTACGCCAGTATATACAAACAATAAACACCACCCCTAATGCTCAAAGACCTTTGGCAATTTCCCAGACTCCAGCGTGAACCATGTATATACCCAGAGGATGCAATTCCTTCCATGAGGCGTCACTCTTTACTCGCCCACGTTTTCTTATTAAATACCCACAACGATGGTGCCTCCCCAGCCCCTCGGTACGAATAACTCAAGTAGAGGGCATACCGGAACATGGCCGCCCGCAAGCTCTCCTCGGTAACGTCGTCCCTCTGCAGATGTTGCACCACTTTGTCAACCGTCAACTCGTGACACTCCAAGTCCACATCATCCTCACTTACACCGATCCCACTATCCGAATCCCATTCCCCAGAGGCCCCGCTCGTCTTTTCAGAAAAGGGCTGCCATTGTCTGCCGCAAAACGCAAGATACACAGCGAGGAGGAAGCTGTGCGGAATGGGTATATCAGCGGGCACGCAGCAGCTAGGGGACCAAATAGAAGTCACTTGACGCCGTCGTGCCTGGAGAGCGCCCGATTCGAGCTTCAAGAGCGCGGCACCGGGGTCGATGAAGGACGGCACAGACGGGAACGATTGCGGGGCGAGTATGGCGTTGAAGCGGCGCGAAGTAAGGCGCGTCGAGGGCCGGCAGGACGGAGGCAGGTGGGAGAGGATCTCGCAGAGGAGCTCAGAGGGCAGCAAGTCCATTGTTTTGTTTCGTGGCGGGGTTTGGAACCTCGCAGCCGGTGAGGCCGTGGTGTTGTGTAAGTGGATGGTGTGTTGGGCGGATATGACGCACCCTGGCTTTTAACAATGCCAAAAGAAGAGGTCAAACGACAGACGCAGGATTTGAAAATTGTTAGCAGAGATTTTGAATGTTGGCAAGCAGACGGGGGTGACCGAGGGTCTGGATGTACACACCATGGTCCCGATGTTGCCAACCGTCAAGGTTCACGAGCCCGGCTGGACGGGCCATGTCAGCATCGGGGCCTCCCTCCTGCTCCGCACATGGGCGCACGGCAAACAATGGTAGCGCTTGACTGAGTGACATTTTGGAATGACACAGACGCGCTCTCCTGTCACATGGTCTGATGAGGAGCAGGACGATCTGCGCCCTCGACATGGCCTTTTGAGGGCGAGGAACAATGCATGTCAATGTGGCTTGGTGGGTCCGTCTGACACGACGTGGTCTGACGATTAGATTTGCGGAAGAGGGCGCTTGGGGTCGCTGTTGATACGTGGTGGAACGAGCATCGGATGGCTGGTGTTGAGGTTCTTGCTCGTTGAGTATCCATTTTCCATGGTGAGGATGAATATGTGGCGATGGTGTCGGGGAGAGCTGTCATGGTCATGGAGGCCAGGAGATGATGGGCCGGCTCTTGGCGGCCAGTGTGGACGTTGGTATGAGCGAGAGTGGCAGTTGCGTCGTCGCGTGTCTGATAGTGGCTACAGCTTGAGGTGAGCAGAAGTGACATGACGTAGCTGATGGTTGATAAGCGCGTTCCATGCTCACGGCCGCATTTTTGTGGTGTTTCTAAAGTCTATTGCACCGCGTGGTTGTGGTTGTCCAAAAGTAGATGCGCTCGGGAATAACGCATGAACCAGTTGCCGAGGGTGGGCTGACAAGGATTAGCCACTGGGGTAGGGTGTCAAAACGGGTACGTACCCCTGGGCAGCCGTGGATATCCAAGTTTTTCTTGGGTTATCCGTGGGCTACCTAACCATTTTATTCCATAGGTGGTTAAGATATTTACAAGTAACACAACCAAAGGGATGGTTTCTTTGTTTTGATAGTTTCTTTTCGTCTCATTCTAGGGAAAATAAAATATTCTCCTGCCGCGGCTGGTTGGTGTTGACAGGCGTTGGCACCGACTTGCCCAGCTGACTACTGGCGCCGGCAACGTCAGGTAAGCTCTGTAGAAATGCCTAGCAAAACACCGCATCTCTATAAATAGCTGTGAATTCTAGTATAAGTAGTATTGCTTATATCCCATACTAATTAAATAGTTTTAATGCGGTTTATACATTTTAATTTCACCATATGTAATCTGGTTGCGCCGAGGAAGCATATAAATTCGGGATCGGGTGTTTCATAGCTCAGGGGGAGGTGAGATGGCAACTCACTGGGAAAGAAATAATACTCTAGGCAACAATTCAACCGCTACATGATGGACACATAATCACCTCATCAGTAAATCCCGAATCATTCCTCGCAAAAACATGCTTTTCATTGGTACACCGTCTCCTTTTCTCACCAAACATTCCATCTTTCTCCCCATCCGCAAGCCATGTCATGATTCAGTCTCGTCCCTCCACCACTTCTGCATCAACACAATCCTCTCTGTCCTCTCCCTAGCCAGCCTCCTCCCCTCCTCCGTCTTCATCATGCCCTCCAGCCGCACCAACTTCTCCTCGAAATGCTCCATCGTGTTGCCCATATCCCTGTTCTTGGCGCCGCCAAACGCAAACGCTCTGCCTATTCCCACCGCCCCGATGGCATCCAACCGGTCCGCATCCTGGACAACCGCCAACTCGGGATGCTCCTCTATCAGCTTCACCACCCTGCTCGGGTCCTTTACTTCGCTGGAGTAACTGACCCCCAGACAGATTGCTTGGACTTTTTCGGCGAGGGGCTCCGAAGCACCAAAGGAGCGGAGCACGTCGAATACGAGACGGGACGAGTCCTCGCCTGGCTTGAGGTACTTCTTGTCGCCGACGTCGTGGAGCAGCGCGGAGAGTGTGACAATGCCGAGAGAGGCGCCGGGCAGGGTGGTTTGGATGTGTTTGGCGAGGCGTAGGACGCGCTGGATGTGGTTGAAGTCGTGGGACGGGTCGTAGTTTGCCATGTAGGATTCCACGTAGTTGGTTACTTTGGCGACGAGGGCGTCGTCAATGGTAAATCCTGACGCCATTTTGGGGTCTTGTGTGGTTCCGTTTGTGTTGGCTGTGACTTGACCGCCTGAGGAGGAGAATGGGGTTGGGTGGTGGAAGGTGAGCTGGTTGGCACCGATTGCACTTTCCAAAATAAGCTACGGAATATGTGTCCTGGCCAATCCGGCGATCGAATTTCTAAGCGTGGTTTATGAATGATTCGGAGGTGGTTGCCGCTTTAGGTGATGGGGGGCGCATCGCGGGGTCAAATGAAGGGTTTGACGCGACGCGTGTTCGCGTGGTTGGGCCAATTTTATCACAAACTACTCCGAAGAGCCTTCGCGGGTTACGCATGATCCCTCCCTTATTGAATCTCAACAATGTGATAATATTGTATGTGGACAAATGCCAAGTACTAGTAGGTAAAGAATGGGCCTGCTAGGGATCGACCGAGCTTAAATCCTGGTGGAGAAACCCCATGCAACGACCAGTTCGCACTCGACTCACCACCTCTTTATTCCCGGCGCTGCAATCCTCGAAGCATTTCAAGAAAAATATGTAAATCGAGTGGAATTATTTTCAAACAACGGGTACTCAACATAAATAAAGTATCCGTACCAGATTCGCGCCATATCTGAGGAGTACGAAGCATCGTCTGCGAAATTGTGTATATACAATCAACGCCGCAGACACTAGGGATGAAAGCAGAAAGCAACTCCAACGGAGCTTTCCAATAAATACTCTCAAGCTCTGTGGAAAAGCCACTAAACAGACAATTCACCTAGAATACTATTAGATGTGGTAATAATAAATACAGAGGCGTAGAGTAATACGCCGTGCTAACTGTAGGTAGGAGGCCCCTTTAGGACTACGGCTCCCTGTCGCAACTAGAAGACTAACAAGGCATGAGGTGACATCTCTGCCACAACTTACGAATGCAAGTTTGCCCTTTTGTGGTGGTCAATGCATGACGTTCTTCAGCCAACTCCATCTCCATGGACGGATAGCAGACTCCTTGGTTGCTGTGCAAGAAGACATCCTCGCGAACAGCACTTCAATGACCATCCAAGTCTTCCCTGTCCCATACAATTAACCATCAACAGTACTGCAGAAACTGCTCCCAAAAGCAGCCTCATGCTCATTCGGTGTCCTCAGCCGGCGCGGGCTCTTCGTCTACATTCAAATGGGCATAAGTCTCCACCAGATTCTTCAGAATATGTGAATTCATATCCTCCTTCTTTTTTACCACACTAACAGGCCAGTGGCTCCGCACAGCCTGTGCCATATGCCTTCTCTCATCTTCTTCGTCGTCATCCAGCCTCATTGTGGTTTTCAGCAAGGAAAGCTCTTCCTGGCGCATCCGTCCACGAATGACCCGAAATAAAGCCTCGGCCAAATAATGGTTGCGGCGCTGGTTATAGAGCCCCTTTGCAATGAGAATCAAAGTCGATCGCAGGGCTTCAAGTCGAGGTCCGGTTGCTTGCTCACTAATAGCGTCGATGCACTCGTACCCGGCAAGCATGAGTGGTATGACGATGAAGAGATCCATGGCCTCAAAACCATGGCGAAGATAGTATAGTCGGACAAGGGTCTGGAGGTGTTTTCTAGCATCTTCGACAATCTGCTGCGGCGTTGGTTCTACTTCTATTGATACATCAAGTAGCGGTTCGTAGATGGTGAGTATGAGGTGATGATAATACATGCTGTCATCGTTACATGTCAGCTCAGCCTCGTCTTTCCATGGCGCAAAATATGCGGCGCTTCACTGTTTCTAAATTTATTTCAAGTGGTATTTTGGGGCTTAGTTTTGGATCTGGGTTTGGACAGGGCTTACTGAAGTTGTAGGTGCCCGGGCAGAACGATTGTCCTTGGTTGGAGCGGTGCCGGTAGGCCGTCAAACCAGCATCTCAGTCGCGAAAAAAACTCGTTGGATTTCTCGACAGTTACCTGTGAGCCTTCCGAAAAGGCTGCTTGACAATATTCGTTCATGATAATACGAAACTCGCTTCTCGCCTTGAAGACTTGACCAAAGTAGGATGGCGAAAGGTTATGGCTTAAGGGATACTTGACCCAGACCTCACCGTAAAATCCCGTTTCTTTTGAAGGGTCTGGCAGTGGCCAGTCTGGGGGCGTCTTCAGAAGTGGAGGGAACAGAAACGAAAATCCAACAAGCCTGAGTCAAATCAGCCGGTGAACCATATCCTAGACCATTGGCACCTACGTTTCCCAATTAAACAAGGCCCATGCGGTGAATGCCCTGCCATTCCTCATTCTGTGATTGTGCATATACACGCTGCTGTCGAATAGGCGAAGCTGGTGAGCCAGCGAGATGGCCTGGATTCTATAGGCTTGTCCTATCTCGTCTAACCCGCAAAGGTTATGGAAGACGTTAAAGAGTATACCGGCCTGTATAGTTGTGATGTGTGCTTCGGTAGCTTCCAATTCCCATATACGTTTCGCCTCAGCCAGAAAGCGATAGACGAGCGTATTGGTATTCCAGTACTCGGCGCGATTCGAGAAGCGTGGGTAGCAGACCTATGATCCAGTGAGACAGAACATATTGGTGGAAGTTTGAGAGCGTCATACGCAAGAGTACGCAAGCATAATATTGACAAGTAGAGCCGAGCAAAAGTCCCGTCGTCTTGCGACCAAGTCTTCTAGAAATAAGTCCTTTTGAAATGCGGCAGTGAAGTGGTATTCGCAACGAAAGAAGACGCCAAGCAAGTCTCTCATGAGAACGTCGTCCTGGCAAACCGTGGTCCACCACGATATTTTCGCATTGGAGAGCTGGGGCTCGATAACCCCAGACGCATGAAACGGCTTCAAATAGAGGCTCTCGTATGCGCCAGACGTTGAATTGGGAGCAGAGTTGGTGGTGGAGCTTGCAGAAGGTGTCGAGCTCTGGCCTGCTGCATAGAGTGAGGTTGCCTCGAAGATGATGGAATCTAGATAAGGATTGTTTTGCACATAATCTTGGGGCATCTCCGATTTGTACGGGAACTCATATCGAAATCGAGTCTCGGGCTCAACAGCCATTTGGACCAGGACATCCCCAGCCCGCACATGGTTGAGAATGGTCACGACATCGGTTCCATCTCTGATTCTGTTCAGTATGTCGTGAGCCTCCTGGCTTGGCAGCGCCTTCAAAAGCTCAAACAGTTCTTCGTGCGCAGTTGCTTGGTACTGCAAGTGGTTGTACGCTCTTTTGAGAGCCTGGGACTGTCTCTCCCCTGGTTGTGTGGTGTAATGGCATTCCATCCGTCGTTGGATACACCGACGACATGCTGGCCGTTCGGCAGAGCACTGCCAAAAGCACAAAACCGTCATCATTCACCGCGCAGGCACCGGAAATCACCCCCCAGGAGTTGGCCTACATACCTTGGTCTTCTGCTTGCGACACTCTGTGCACGCAGCAACGGCAGAATGAAGCCTCGGAGCCATTGTTGGCGCTGGCACCGGTGCTGATCGGGAGCCCGTTGAGGGTAGCAGGGGGCGCAACCGCCGTGCTTTCTTAGCTACGGCATGCTCAGGCATTTTTCAACCGTCACTCGTCATGCTGGCTTCAGAGTTGGGGATAAAGGAGAGTTATGATGCTTTGAAGACGTCAGGGAGTCGGGACTCGGGGTGGGGAGATTGCTTCGGTGAAGGCGCCCCAGCACGCGTGCCAGACATGTATCAACTTATGCCAAGTACTTAAGTACTTTATGTGTGCATGCATGTGCATAGTGGCGAGGCCTGGGCCTTCATTTTTTAGTACGTAGACCGTAGCCCCCCATCATTCACAAAAAAAAGCAATGTTGTCAACTTATCCAATCGAACTACTCCTGGATGGATGCGTCGAGTCAATAACACCGCTTACCTTTATTGCAGTCTGTCTCAACATTAGATTGAGGCGGGAAAAAGTTTGAACAAAATGTCTGGTCAATATATGTGCATACATAGGAAAAATATGAGGAATCTGTATCAGACGAGGGTGGTATTGCTTGAACTGAAAGGATCCTGCGTACACTGCGGGCTGGGCCTTGCCGGAGCCATTGTTACAGTCGCCGTGAGTTTCCTCCCTAAACTGATGAAAAGGAAACTGTTGATTTAACAAGATCGAGATCGTGTCGATTTACGAGGATCCGTAACTGGGGCTTCTACAAGTCCAGGAACGCGTTATATTCAAGACCCGAGCGAGGAACGACCTTGTCACCCATTTGAGTACGCATGTTCGATAGTTTTGTGGCTTTAGACGTATCTTTGAGTATCTACTTCGTGAGAATATTTATCATTTCGCCGCCGTGAGAAAAAACGCAGAGGACAAAGGGGCTCAATATAGCGCCACTGAAGCAGGCCATGTGGAGGGTAACAAACACACAAAGTATGGAAATGAGAGATGCAGCTAGCCAGCATAAATACCTCTACCCTAAGTTCTTTAGCGACTCTGGGTATTAGTGTAAGTGCCAAATAGAAGCAGCACTTAGATAGCATATTCTCCCAGTGTAGTAGCTATCAATGTTATCCAGTACGTGAGTACTTCTTGATGGGCAAGTATATCCTGACATAGCTGCTTCTTGTATATTTTTATGGGGCTACTCTTCCGACAAATTCTGCGGTCAGCTTCTGGTAAATTGTGGTTGTGCCACAGTCACCAGGGCATGGTAATGAGATCAGCACCGCAGCTTCTTGGGTGCCGCCTCGACCGAGCAAAGAGCGGAAGCGGCAATTTGGCCATACACATGTCTTGAATAATAAGTCTACTACGGAGTACTAATCTTCAGACTCCGCAATTTCATGCTGAAAGCATATTCAATAGCCTTGGCTGGAAAACCGGGGAATACCACCATCATGGTGGTTGTGGCCCCTCAAACCAACACCATTCACGTAAACCCAAGCGCCAGGCGGTCTGCAAATCCGGGAATTAAGCTCTAATCATGCCGGTATTACGAGCCCCTTCCCGTCATATCTGCATATATCAGCATACTTCTGGTCATGTGTTCTCTCCTCAATGCAACCTTTCCGTCCGAAGCTAGATATTTGCGAACCAGGCGACCCCAGATTTTTGGTTAAAGGAGGCAACGCGCACGGCTTCCACTGCATGTATTCTACTCTCGTTTGTCCCTCTTTACATAACCCGCCGACGCTAGTTTATATAGAATTCAGGAATCAGGACCGACAACTTGCGCCGCAATAATCTTGTTTCACGCCGCACAGTCGAGAGTTGGTGTGTAGTGGCATGAGCTCTGGCGCACGAGGGCGGGCCGCATAGATCAGGAGAGTCCGCGCGGGTGTGAGTGGAGAGAAACAACAGGTTTACCGCTAGCTAAGATGATTCTCTGTATCCAAATAGAAGTTCAGTTCCATTGCCTTTTCTTCATGTCTGGATGAGCGTGACAAGGGAGGTTGCGGGGAATAAGAGTGCCGAGAAGCACAGCGACGTCGCAGGATGCCATGAGCCCAGCATAGGCATTCGGGAGAGTTCAATATTGAAGTCTAGGTGGCTCCAAGGCAGCCTATGCGCAATACTCTCTGATTGCAGTGGGATTCTCAGCCCACGGTCGACATTTTCATGTGCGAGGCTATCCTGAGTTGTATGCCTGTACCTACGTGCCTAGTAGGTGAATGGGATACGCAGCAGCAAGACAAACAAGGAAGGTGCAATGGATTTGAGGTCGTCATCAATACTCAGGTGCGTACGTCGGGTCTTTCCTCGCACCATGTCTCGACCGAGCGTCTGCAGTTCCTCCCTTCCTTCCTGACGCGTGACACCCATATGTCGGTAAGAGCGGTGCTCCAGATACCTTGCAAAAATGCCACCGCCGACGACGGTCATATTACGCCGTCCTTGGACATGCATATCATCGAGGCCAATCCGCAGACACATTTCAACATGCATTAACTAGACGCAAAGGCAAAGCGCTCGAGCGCCCGCGCAGCAGCAGCCTTGTAGAAATACGGAGTAGTATGCCTGCCCATTGGCGGAGCTGCAGGATGACGTTGCAAGGGTACATGAGTGCACCAAACAAAGGCGTGAAGGGCCCCACAAGACCCCATCCCCTGACGCCGGCCCAATCAAGCAGTACGTCTAAACGCCGGCATCCATGAGCTTGTGTGTACAAGTCCCGTCATTGGCTGGGCGCCTCACGTCCATCATTAGTCTGTCGGCAAGCTACTGCGTCTTGATGCCTCTTTCATGCATATTGCTGCGTCTTCGTGCTGTCCCCTGCCACCGTTTAAGCGCCGACCTTTGTGATAATCCCCTCATCCCCCTCTCTTCGGGCTGGGACTACCCTTTGTCGACTGTTCTCTGCTCGTGTCTCTCTCGCCTGTGCCGCCTGGCATTCGCCGGCACTCGTCTCCACTCTGTGAACAAGAAATGTGATAACATCGTCGGCCAAACTGAATTCTGTGTATGACCCATGGTCCCATGTCCATGCCATGTCGAACCTCCCATTGGATGGCTGCCTGGGCAAATAGTGCCATCCACATGTCTCCCGAGCGTGCAGCTGGAAAAAGTCGAGCAGGCGGCCATGGCCCAGCCATGTTTGTCAAAGCCGACTGTGAGGAGCGAGATGCCGGCTAATTCATATAACATGGAACCAACACCCCCTTCTTTTCCTCTTTCTCCTCCTTTCTGCTTCAGCAAGTCCTTTCAACTCAAATCCTCGTTTCTGTTTGTGTGTTGTGTTTCCCCTTTTCCCCTTTGCCTTTTTTTCTTAGCCATTGCTTCGTAGAGCTGGTCTCTATCTATTCTAATATACATCGTCTCGAATAGCCCTGCAATACCCACCACACACACTCAATCTCATGAAGTTGCTGGTCAGCTTGAGAGACGAATTATTCACTACTATTGCGTTATTGCCTCGCTGTTGTTGTTTGCTTACTCGCCTTAATACACTATCCCTAATAGCGGAATACCGTGGATTTTACTTGCTCGCCGACGCTCAAACCAAGTTCAAATTTTAACTTGTTCAGGATCTTTGTCATTCGACTGCATCGTCAACTACAAGACTAATCAACATGTCGGCTATTCAACTTTCTTTCTCTCTTCGCGTCTCCTCGGGCGTCAAGACGGTGCATCTTCTCGGCTCTTGGGACAACTACGTTGGTCAGCTCCCTCTCTCCAAGGACAAGTCTTCTTCCAAGTCTGGTTCCTGGAAGGGAACTTTCCGCTTCCAGAACTCTGCCCTTGAGGCTGGCCAGCGATACTGGTATTACTACATCATCGACGGTTACCATGTCGCCCACAACCCTAGTGTTACCTCCACCACTGAGCCCACGACCGGCCGTGAGCTGAACATTCTCGACGTGCCCTCTGGGAAGTCCGAGAAGTCCGAGAAGTCCTCGTCCCGCCACCACAAGTCTTCCTCTTCCTCCAGGGATCACAAATCATCATCCTCGTCGTCCAAGTCAAGCAGCAAGGGCTCCTCGCGTCATCACTCTTCATCCAAGGACAAGGATAGCCACCGCTCGTCGCGAAGTCGATCATCACTCTCCGTTGACATCCCAAAGGGACGACCTCTCTCGGTGTCCCAGATCAAGGCTCCCAAGCCCATGTCTCCGCACGCGACTAAGCACATCCTCGACTCTGACTACTACGACAATGAAGCAATTGAGGAACTCACCGCCCGCTTTGGCAGCGCTGGCATCGACGAGGAGGATTTCATCACCAACTTTGGCACATCTCCCGTCTCATCCAGTGGCTCCTCTCTGTCGTACCGCTCCGACAGCTCATCTCCCAACTCCTCCCTCTCCGGCTACAGCACGCCAAGCTCAGACTGCAGCACATGCACTTGCGAGCGCTACGGAATCACCCGCAGAGGCGAGCGCGTCAAGCTCGACTGCGGCGGCTCCAAGTGCGGATATGGAGACGATAGCTCCGACTGCTCCAGCTACGCCAGCGAGGATGAAGAGGACGAGGTACATTACTCCCGCAGCCACTCTCGCCGCCATGGAATGGTTGTCAATTGAAAGGCTAGTGCTGAAATGTGAGAGATACGCGTGTTGGCCATCAGAGGAAGGCCGAAATAGAGAAATCCGGCAGTTCATTCCTTTGAGCAGGCAGACGCTGACGAACTGGCGTCTTGCCGTCTTGCTCCCCAAGTTCTTGTGGTAAATTCCGAATCAGTGCAACCTGTTTGCTTGCATTTTACTGTACCCCCTCACCCGCAGCGTAGAAAGCCGCGCCAAGCAGGTCCTTGGAGTACGCTGGCTGACTCGACTACGGGTGAAGACGAATGGGTCGATGCTGCGGCCCCCGGTAGGCACATGGCCGAAGCTCGTGCCTGCAGGAGTTTTCGTTTGTTAGTTCTTGAACAGGAGGTGGGGGGGCTTCGAAGGAGGACTTCAGCCCCCCTACTTAATCTCCAAAACGTCAAGTGTGGACAGCCTCGATTTTACAGATCGGGGACCGGCCCCAGTGGGAAGGAAAGCGGAGGGAGTTGGACACTTTTGTGGATGTGGCGAAAGACCAGGCGCTAGGATGGTCTCAAGCTAGCCAAGGGTGTAGTAGATAGACCAGAGGCAGCTTCACTGCCTTTTTGAATAGAAGACGGTTGAATCTATTCACGAAATGGTGCGCCAATTGGTGACGGTAATGTGCGATGGGAGTGAAGAGTGAATGGAGAACCAAAGATAATTAATTACCCGTCGCGTTTTTGTAAAGGGGCAGACGGGCGTTGAGCTCTGGTGGAGACTGCTCCACGTCTGCCGCTGCACAATTCGGGACCAGCGGGGAACTTGAAAGGAACCGTCGCCTGTACCAGGGACCACCTGTACACCCGTTGACACCCAGCAGGCGGGGTAGTTCAGACCGAAACTTGAGCTGAGACCTTGATTTCTGCGAAGCATTGAGACGTTTCCCGTTTCTTATTTCCCTTTTTTTTTTTTTCCTCTTTCCATTTCTACAATTTCATAATCAGTAGCCCCTTCCGCATTTTTCTCCGTTTCAGGGAGCTCATCATTTCATAGGTACCTCCAAAAAAACATAGCTAATTTATTTCCTCCACGGCCTGTTACCCCCTACCCCGAAGCTCAACATGGCCGACGACCAGCTCATCCTCCCCATCATCGACTCCCACATCCACCTCTACCCCAAGTCCGAAGTTGATTCCCTCGCCTGGTGCGCGCCATCCAACCCTCTCTACGGCCAGCGCTCCATTGCCGAATACAAAGAAGCCACCAAATCAGCCCCGTCCCTCCTCGGGTTCGTTTTTGTAGAGGCAGACCGCAAACACGACCTAGATGCTGGGAAAACCGACGGCTCGGGCTGGGAAGCCCCCCTCCAGGAAGTCAACTGGATGAAGAGGATTGCCCTCGGGCAGCCAAAAGACGGGGAGGGCCACACCGCCGACGATGCGAAGCTGTGTCTGGGAATCATACCCTGGGCACCAATGCCCAGCGGCAAGGACGTCATGGACAAGTATATTGACAAAGTAAAGGAGGAGGCCGGGGACGCTTGGCCCAAGGTGAAAGGGTTCAGGTACCTGCTGCAGAATAAACCTAATGGGACCATGTTGGCAGGCGATTTTATCGAGAGCTTGAAGCTGCTGGGGGAAAGGGGCTTCGTGTTTGAGGTGGGTATTGATCAGCACAGACGGGGAAAGAAGCAGCTGGATGAGTTGGTGGAGATGATTGACAGGGCTCACGACGGAGTCGAGGAGGATAAGAAGGTGACCATCATTTTGAGTGAGTCTTGGTTGACAGGGTGAGACAGCATGTGAGCTGCTTGCTGACTACCTGACAGACCATCTCTGCAAGCCTGATCTTAGCATTTACAACCTCACATCCGATCCCTCCTTTATCGCCTGGCGAACGGCCATGTACACTCTCAGCAAAGCGTCAAACATATACATGAAGCTATCTGGGGGGTTCTCGGAAATGCCCGAGGCGCTGCGCACCCAAGAGCCCGCACACATTTTCCAATCGACACTGGGGTGGTTGGGCATTGTGCTGGCAACATTTGGCCCGTCACGAATCATGTTTGGTAGTGATTGGCCAGTGTGTACATTAGAAGGAATGGGCGACGAGGCGTGGCCGAAGTGGAAGGAGGTCGTGGAAAAGATGTGCTGGATGGCAACATTGTCGGATGACGAGAGGGCTATGATTTTTGGCGGCACGGCCAAGAAGGCGTATAATTTGTAGGAAAGAGGTTGAAATGCCAGGATTTGACGTAGTACTATGGAGTTGAGATGTATTGGTAACACTTAATATCTGTCACAAGATATGATTCATAAACGTTTTTTTTTTCCCGGTATGTGAGGGAAGTTCACATGCTGTTTGGATTTCCAGGAGATATTGGCAGGGAAGCATCTTTTCGAGACCCTTAAACCGTGCTCAGTGCCCTGGAGCCCACGAACAAGTTCATCAGACCGTGGATAAAAAAAAGCTAAACAAGCCAGTGGTGGATTTCATTCAGACGCATCCGGAAACCTGCTCCAAGTCTCTTTTGCACATCTCGAATAGAGAGGCAATGACAACCCAACTGACCTCACTTAGTTCACTCACTAAATCGACGTGGTATATGATAGAATTTGCTCTAACCCAAACGCCAATTCATACATTCATAACTCTCTTTCCATTTGCACATGTACTCCCAAGAGCGTCTCTTTCCCATCCACATCCCCCATCAACCATGACAATGCTGAAGACCAAAGGCATCTCCGATGTACGGCACCCTCTAATCCTGCCCTCTGCCCCTGTAACTACCCATCTTCTCAATCGAACTCATAATTCCGCTCCTCCCCGGCCGCGGTAGGCCTCCGCTCCCCCTCCTCACATGCCCCGGCGGCCGAATCGCAGATCCAGGAGCCCTGATTCCTGAGCCACCGCTTCTCCCAACATTACTACTCTTCGCGTATTCCCCCGACGCTCTCGGAGTCTTTGTTAAATCAGTACGTTCCTGCTGCTGCTGTTGCTGCTGCGCACGTTGTTGCTGTGCACCCCCAACAAAGCTCTGCATAGACATCATCTCCTCCGCCAGTTGCACCAACTCGCCCTTTTCAACCCTCTCCCTCTCCAACATGGTCCTCAGCTCAGTGTTGTCCTTCTTGACAGTCGAAATAACAGCCTCTAACCGCTGAACATCCGCATTGAGTTCTTTAATTGCCGCACTATCCTTGGCAGCCTGCGCCTTGCGCTCTTCGGCCTGCGTATTGTCAGGCTCCAATCTCGTTAGATTGGCTTCTTGGTTCTCACGAAGCTTAGTATTTTCCCCACTCAGTTCCTCGATACGCCTCTCCATGTCCTTAACGCGTTTCTCCCAGCGGGCTTCGTAGGATTTTTTCAAGGCTGCAACTTTCGTTTCGTGCTTGCCCTTGTACAACGCATGAAGTTCTCTAGCCACTCTCTCCACGGCAATTTCCACTTCCTTGTTCGACGTAGCCTTGGCTTTTTCAGGTGACGCAAATGCGTCCTTTGTTTTTTCGCTGTCCTTGCCAGCACGCATACCAGCCATTTTGCTCTCGGCCTCTTGGTGTAGCATCTCGGCTGCTTCTCTGCGCTTCTCGCTTTCTTCGAGTTTCTGTTCCAGCTCTTCTCTTTCACGCTGGCTAGTCATAACCTCCTCCCTGATCTTGCGGAGGACATTCTCCATATCACGCCCACGCTTCTCCCAATCCTCCTTTTCGGCGGATAGTTGTTCCCTGATACCTCGTTCTTCGCGTAGCTGCTCCATCGACTCGCCGACTCGCTTTTCAGCATCGCCAACTGCAGTCTTGAGAGAATGAACCTCCGCTTCTTTCCCGCTCAGAGATGCCTTGAGGGAACTGATTTCTGATAAAAACCCAGACTTGAGTGATTCCAGCTCGCGGGGTGTAATGGAAGGGAGGCTTCGGGGTGTAGGCAGAGGAGGAATATCAAAATCAATCAGGTTGGTGACTTGGCGGTTAGGCGTCTCTGATACACCGGGCATTGTTCGCGACGGCGACAAGGCGCCTCGCTTACCAGGTGACTTTTGCTGTGGAAAACGCATTTGGTCCGTGAAATCCATTAACAAATTTGTGGTGTTGCTGGTACTGTCCGACGGGGAAACCGGTCGAGCAAAGGAATCCTGTTGCAGCTTTGATCGTGAGATGTGTCCATCAAGCCCAGATCTAGTCGGACTCTGTCCCAACTTCGCAAATACCGTCAGGTTAGGCACCACGGAGAAGGTACTAAAAGTGCTGATCATCGACTCATCTGGGGCGGCAGCATCATCGTGCTCCTGCTCTCCAGGTGGAACCTCAGCATTCGTATCCGCATCTGCATCCACGCGCAGCTCGCTCTCATCCTCAAATATATCAATCGCCTTCTTCAGACCCTCATTGCTTCTCACCATATCTGCCACACTAATTTTCCTCTCCTTCATCGCCCTCCCCTCATCATCTTCACGCATCGGGCTAATTTTGATGGGAAATCTCGCCACCGGGGACATCTTTCTCGGACTTCTCTGCGGCGGCGGTCCCATGGACCCATTCTCTGTACTACTGCTTGAGGCACTTTTCTGATCGCCCAGAATCTTGAGTGGTGACAGCTCCGTCCCGGAAATAACACGACTATGCCGAGCCTTTGACGGGGAGACGTTCTCCTGGCCCATATTGCTGGTCTCGTTGACGGAGGACAAGAACGGCGAAGAGTGTCCGGAGTCATCTAGAGGTTCGGTGCCGAGCTTGTTCGTGCTCGTAGTGGTGGTGGTAGAGGTAAACGCGCGCACCTCGTACTGCTCGTACTTCCTCTTGCTGGGCGGCGTAGCTCTGTTAATGCTTGCCTCGGGGACAGGAGACAACGGGGACGTCATAATGCAGAGAGCCAAGATGCAACAGGTCTATCGTAGAATAGCAAACAGTTTGTCGACACCGTCAGTGATGTCAAAGTTCAGTATAATGTCATGGAACGTTCCGTTTGTTGATGCTCGACGTGCAAAAGTGAAATCGGGACCCCGTACTCCGTAAATCTATTATGCAATGATAGAATCAGCGCACTATTGTCGTTGTGCACAGTTCAGAATTTGTAAAAAATTCGAGTTCGTCTCTTAAAACTTGCCAAAAGAAAAAAAAGGCCTCGTCGTTTGAATCAATTCCACAATGCAACCACGCCCAAAACACGTTGCACGACGACCCACCTTGTTATGTCGTTGGCTCAGCAACCATCTTCATAGCAGATCACGTGGGCTCCAACGTAGACTTGACGCTCGCAAGTTTGAAGTGATATTTTCTAGAAGAAACAGACAACTGAGCTAAGCCAAGATAGCAACAGCGTAATCAGGATTTGAACTTGACATTCTTAATAACCCAGGAAACCGCAGGCCAACGAGTACGACTACTTTGCTCATGTCTTTTATGCTTTACGTCTGTGGAGAACTCAACGCCAAACCTCCGTGAGTCAGCTCTACTAGTCGGTTATCTGGACCCTCAACTTCAACCACAGTCCACGACTCCAGCCCCACAACCAACCTCAACCAACCTCGTCAGCAAGGCAGCATGGCGTACATTACCGTTGCAGCAGCCACTCTTACGAGTGTGCCGCTTGACTTTAAAGGCAACCTTGCGCGTATTCTAGAGAGTATCAAATTGGCCAAGGAGCAAGGTGCGAAATTGCGTACTGGACCTGAGGTATGCATGATGCATATGCGGCTCCCTGATAAAACTGACATGAGTCGCTAATGATAGCAGTTGGAAGTTCCTGGCTATGGATGCCTCGATCATCACCGTAGGTTTCATAAATATCACCATGATCTATGACTATTCGATGGCTGGTATTGCGCGGGGAGCGTGAGATGGCAAGCTGACCAAACGCAGTCGAGGGTGACACATTCCTCCACTCGTGGGAAGTCGTCGCCCAGATCCTCAACGAACCCATGATCAAGGATATGCTCATCGATGTAGGCATGGGAGTTCGCCACAGGAACGTTCGATATAACTGCCGCGTGCTTCTCACGTATCAACATATATACATGATTCGGCCCAAGATGAGTCTTGCCAATGACGGGCTGTACCGCGAGGCGAGGCATTTCACTGCATGGTCGAAGCCTCGGACTACTGAGACGTATTACTTGGAGAAGGTTGTGAGGGACATTACGGGGCAGAGATCGGTGCCAATTGGCGATGTGGTTCTTTCGACAATGGATACTTCTGTTGGGTGAGTTTTTAAGTATGGTGGGGTGAGCTTTGGACGGTGAGAGATGCTAATGAATATAGTTGTGAGACTTGCGAGGAACTTTTCACGGTGAGTTTGTTTCAAGCTCTGAGTTTGCTTTATGTAGGAATGCTTATGCCGATGCTTTCAGCCTTCAAACCCGTCAACTTATATGGGCCTCAATGGCGTCGAAGTCATTCTTAACTCGAGCGCGTCACATGCTGAACTGAGGAAGCTGAATACAAGACTGAATCTCATTCAGAACTGCACTCGCAAATTGGGCGGTTTGTACGTGTACGCAAACGCCACGGGTGTTGGTAGGAAGAAATAATTCTGCAACGCATTCGTTGTTCAAATCTAACATGCAAGCAGACGGCGAAGCAAGAATGATGTTTGACGGTTCATCCATGATCCTCTGCAACGGCGCCGTCTTGGGCCAGTCCCCCCAATTCTCACTCGTGCGTTTCCCTACCCAAGCCGTTTTCGCACGTCACTGACGCGCGCACTAGAAAGAAGTCGAAGTCCTCACCGCAACAATCGACCTGGAAACCATCCGCAGCCACAGAAGCAGTATCTCGCGCAACGTCCAAGGCGCTGCTCAACCGGACTATCCCCGCGTGGAGTGCGACCTCTACCTCAGCCGGCCCGCTGACGAAGTCTTCATCTCGGATACCCTCCACCTCTCTCGCGAAATCCAGCTCAATATCCCGGACCCCATGCAGGAGATCTACATGGCGGAAGCAGTCTTCCTGTGGCAGTATCTCACGCGCTCCAACTTGGGAGGCTTCTTCATCGCCCTCTCAGGGGGGCTTGATAGTGCCAGTGTCTCTCTGTTTGTGTACGGCATGGCCAAAGTGGTATTGCAGTCTGTCAAGTCAGGCGATGAGAGAACCTTGTCGGAGCTGCGTCGCATCACGGGCGAAAAGGATCTTGTCCCTGAGACGCCGCAGGATATCGTGTCGCGCCTCCTGCACACGTGTTACATGGGGACAGTAAACAGCGGCGAGCACACGCGATCAAGAGCAAAGAGACTGGCAGCAAGAATCGGTGCGTTTCACTCAGATGTCAATATTGACGAGACTGTCTCTGCGCACGAGGCGGTTATCAAGCAGGCGATGAATTTTGAGCCCAAGTTTCAGGTGGAAGGGGGCTCTGTGGCAGTGAGTTGCGACCAAGGGGGTTCTGCATGTGTGGTGGAAACTAATTGTGCAGGAAAACCTGGCCAAACAGAATATTCAAGCTCGCAATCGGATGATTGTTGCCTACGAGGTATGAGACCTTATGAGATGTTGGATGTATCTGACAGATTCCAGCTTGCGCAATTGAGCACGACGGCCCGCAAGCTACCCAGGGCAGGCACCAGTCTTCTAGTTGTAAGTCGAGTGATGTGTTCACATCCAACGCGGCTAACACCGATAAGCTCTCCTCTGGTAATGTCGACGAAGCTCTACGAGGGTACGTACGTCCACCACCACCTCAGACCACCTCAAAGAATATCGGCTAACGATGGTAGATACTTGACCAAATACGACTGCAGTTCTGGAGACATTGCCCCTCTTGTGAGTCAACACATGCCAAGTAGCATGCTGTAGGTGTCTGACGTGTACGCAGGGCAGCATTTCCAAGTCCGATGCCAAGTCGTTCCTCGCCTGGTGCCGCGACAAATGGGACATGCCCATCATCACAGTAATTACAAGCCCGCCGCCCAGGATGTTGAGATAGAATACTAATTTCGCAGGAATTCCTCGAAGCACGTCCCAGCGCAGAGCTCCTCCCCCTTTCTGCGGGTGAACAAGACGACGAATCCGAGTCCGAAATGGGCTTCACGTACGACGAATTGAGCACATTTGGCATTCTCCGAAAGGTATGACCGCACCCGACTCACTCATGAACGCATCACGACCAATGGTTTCCCAGAGCCCATTGCCAAACAGCGGGGGAAACAACAGTGGTTCTAACATATCTAGGTTGAAAAACTCGGCCCCTGGTCCTGCTACCTCCGGCTCCTCGTTGAATGGCAAGACCGCCCCGGGTACGGCCCTCGCGAAGTAGCTACGAAGGTGCTCAGGTTCTTCCGCTTCTATTCGATCCACAGAAATAAGAGCACGATATTGACGCCAAGTGTGCACCTAAGTGCCTATGTAAGTTGCATCAATAAAGCATTTCCTTTTCCCTGTTCCATCCTTTTTCTCTGGGGGAAGGGGGGTAGTAAATGGGTAGGGGGTTTTCAGGGAGAGACACTAATGATGTGTTCAGAACCCGGATGACAACCGGCATGATTTGAGGCCGTTTTTGTACGTGATCAATTGGCCATGGCAGTTTGAAAAGATCCAGAAACATGCCGAGGAGCTGGCGGAGAAACTGGAGAGGAAATAAAGTACATGGTAAGTTATTGTCCAGGCAGGATGTTTTATATAGAGCAGATTGTTGGGGCGGACGAATAGACGGAGTGTGCTGCGTCTTGTGATAATTGACCGTGTGCCTGCAGAAGCAAACACCCTGGCTCAGCCAGGGTGCGCATACGGCATGATGTGTCGGTGGAAACAGCAAAGCAAGTCCATATACCTGGCAATATGACCTGCCTGAAACCAAAAATGACGCTGCGCCTGGGTCTTTTCCCCATGCCAAGGGGTGTGTATACGAGATGACAGGGCCCAGAAAGACCTGAGACGTCTCTTGCCAAACGGCAGATTAACCTTTTTTTTGTCCTCCCCAACAGCAAGCGCTCCATGTACCTATATTTGTCTTACGTAACTGCCACCGCGTCACGTCAGCCATTCCCGAAACTCTAATCTGGTGTCCCCAAAGATTCGCTACACCTAGTGGTTGGGCTCCGGGGCAAACTGGTGACAGGAGCGTGCAGGTGGGATAGTTTGGGGCTGCGGTCGAAAGTGGGGCCCAACGAGCCGGTTTTCGAATGGGAGCACGGTTCGAAGCGCCCGGCTCGTACAGTCCCCGCCCCCCCCCCTTTCTAAAGTCTAGATTCTATCAACTGGGAATCTAAAAAAAAAAGAAAAAACAGCAACACAGTTTAAAAAAGGAACCGACTTACAAAATCTATCGCTAAGGGATGAAACCAGCGCCCCATGCACCAACCGCCAAGTCCTTGCCATTCAGTGCTTCCCAAAGACACCAAGCCACCACCATATCAGACAATCACAACTCTCCATAGCAGGGCCCGTGAAAACCGTTTCCCGTCCGTCCCAAGCCCTCCTATAAAAAGCAAGGCGTTTGAACCCCAACAGACCTTTATCTTAGAACATTTGCGCATCGATTGATATGATATCCTTGCTACGGAGCACTTCAACCACAACGACTGGTGTATTGTACTACCCAATGTTAATATGTAACCCCCGGGCCGCGTGGGCATGCCGACAGAGCATTGCCATGTTGAAATGGCATCATGTGAATACCTACCTAGGTAGGTAGGGGTCTGTCTACATGTCATCTAGGACAGTATCGCTAATATGGCTTCGAGACGTACCATGTACATAGACCAATGCACGAAATGAAAAAAGGTTCCCTATCGAACCAGTATCTATGCAGTACCAGGTTCTCCCATAGTCTACTCTCCATCTCACAAACATGAATTGATCAATATTACCAACGCTTTTTCGTCTCTTCATCATCATGTATATATAATATATATATTGAAATATTGAATAGCTTTTATTGGTCATTTCGTAAAGTCGTTACCTAAACGCGGTATTGTCCAACACACACCTTCTTTGACGCTTTTTGTTTAACGTAATCAAAACAAGACGGTGAACAAAGATGGTCGTAAAGTCATCATCAGAATCGCGGATGTCTCTTTCGTTTCCAAACAAATCTCCCACCGTAAGTCCCTGTGAAGCTAATTGAACGGTGAAAGAAAAGAAAAACAACGTTATGCCAAGGTAATGTGGCGTGGGAATACCCACAAACCAACTCATCGTGTCTGGCCTGAGGATCGTAACAGGCTCGAAGTGCTCTCGCTCTCTTTTGATGTGTTCGTATCGTTGGGTCAGGTTTGTCAAATCAAGCCACAGGTCGTCGTAGTCTGAGACCGTTCTCCCAGCACAAAGCTAAAAAAGAAATAAAAGAGAAAAAAACTATAACCCACAGCAAATCATCAAAAAATTAATCCCCTCCATGCAAACCGTAACTCATCAGGCACGTACAGACGTGACAGGCATGCTATGTAACATAGAAGTAGTGGCCATCGCTCGTCAGCAAGTCTTTGACCCGAATAGACGTGTTTGATGAGACGACTGCCGAAAATACAAGACCGGAGTCCCCTGCAAAAAAAAAAGAGGAAAAAAAGGAAACATGAGGGCAAAAAGAAAAAGATGAGAAGTACCCATTGAAACAAGGAACGTATCTGTATGATGTGGCGAGTTTGCGGCAGCATTTCGTTCCGTATTATTCGGGAGATGGTGATATTGGAAAGTCTGTGAGCTCAAACCCAACATGTCGCTGTCGTTTCGCCGCTGCCAGCACTAAACGCCCCAAAAGCCAGCACCGAATATGAAGAATAAGGTAAAACACAAAAAACAATGCTAATTACGGCGCATCGCAATTAAGCACTGCTCTAATAGCAGGGTATCATCACACTGAGATGCGTGGCAAGATAAGTGGCAAGTTATCTCGCGTTTACCGCCTCCTAGGTGCGGTAATGGCGGGAGCCGGTCGGTTGAGCGCGTCGTAAGCTGGAGCCGGCACAGTTGTCTCCATTATAGTCCGTCGTCGCTTGAGGTCTCCGTTGCTCATACCATTGGCTTCGCTGCCAGATTGGGACAAGTCCTCATCATCTTCGCGCCCTCGCTTCATGCCTCCCGAGGCACCATTCATCAGTGGCGGCTGTGGCGCATAGCCATTGGGCATAGGGTTGGACATGTCAGCTGCAGGTGCATATACATCACCACCAGGGCCTGCATTAGTCTGACCTCGGTCATTGCTGACAACATTGTAGAGGTTGCTGGTTGTCTGCTGCACACGAGGAGGCGTATTGTAGCCATTGTTTTGGGGGTAGTATGACTGATGCGGAGCCGCTGTCCGAGGCGTCGCTCGCCCAGAGCTAGAGGGGTGGCCAGGAGACCCTGTCATGTCAGGGTTGATGTTCGCGTCGTTGGCCAAGTTGCCAACGCTTGGTGCCGTATAGTTGTAAGAGGAGCGAGATGCATCATAAACACCGCTGTTATGGGTATATTCTGCCTCATGCTCAGGTTCGCCTTCTTCTTCGTGGCCGTGTGCAGACTGCTCAGATTGCATGATACCGTTGGTAGATTTGGTATCATGCTGCTCCGTAGGCTGACCAGGCGCGCCGGGTCGACTAGATGGAGGTCCCATGTCGCTCTTAGTATAGGAGCTAGTCTGGCTATAGATGCGGTCATTGTTAGCAGGATTCGTGTTCTGGTACGGCGACTGCTGAGAAGCAGAAGCACCATACATCTGACGGGAGTTGTCATAGCCCTGGCTGGCCTGGTGATAGGGCTGCATGTTCTGGATCGGCTGGCCAGGGGGTGTCGTGGCAGGTGTGTTTGGCATCGAGCGCGTGCTGTTTAAGCCGGTTTCCATGGCTAGTGGGTTGTTGTTGCCTTGCGCACCATTCATTGCCTGACCTTGCCAGCCAAAGTTGTCAGAAGCGCCCATGCCACCTACGCCTGGATTACCTGGTGGTGTGGGAAACGTATGAGCCCGGTCAAGAGTTGGACGGCTAGCCATGCCGCTGTGAGAGGGAAGAGACGCCTGTGAGCCAGGAAGGGCCATCTGCTGATGCTGCTGAATAGACGGCAAGCCGGGCGGAGGGGGGGGATGGCGAATTTGGCTCTGCTCTTGTTTGCGGCGTTCAGCAGCAGCCATGACTTGGCTGGTACGGGTCTGGTTCGTGGGATGATAGAGCAGAGCTCCAATGTTGTGCACAAACAGTGGATAGAGCATTTCCGTGATCTTTTCCTTGTTGGCGAAGTCCAGAGCCCGTTCATAAGGAATCCTAAAATTTTCGTCTTAGTGTACTGTCACTGTGTTTTTTTTTACATCCCTGGCCCACAATGGAGACAGTACGTACCAGACGCCCTTCAAATGCATAGGGCCGATTTTAACGACATGGCGCACTTTTTCGCTCTTCAGAATGCCATCTCGTCGACCTCTTGTCATGCCAGCTACATTTAACAATTTTGTGCCGTTGATCATGTGGTTATCTGTAGAGAAGGGGGAGGATTAGCCATAAGTTCTTTCCAGCTATGTGTTCCAGTACACAACTAGGGGTCTCCTTGATATAGCCCGGTTCGAAAGTTTTGGTTCGACATACCTTCACGTCTGGCAACGCAAATTCCTCGAGCTTCAACTTGAAAGCACAAGCTGCCCTCATCTTCCCACAACGTAGCGGTTACCCGTGGTTTCATGCCAGGAGGGGGGTTCTGTCCAGTGGTGTCAAAACCGGCGTAGTGGTTGGCCATTGATGCCTGGCCAGCAACTCCAGGAAGTGGTAGGACCGAAGGCGCCGCACCCATGGGGTTCGACACTGCTTGGGCGGCAGAAGGCGATGTCAAGCCATTTGTGTACTGAGGATACTGGCCATATGGATTTGGATTGTTGTAGTTGCTAGGTCCGGGTTGCATCAGATGCGGTGGGTGCTGGTACGAGGTGAGGTTGCTTGAAGTGACAGTCTGGGGGGGCGGAGGCTGGCCCCCAGAAATGTGCTGGGGGTAGTACATCTCCGGGTTCTGGTGGTTCATGGCGTCGTAGCTGACAATATGAGTCGCTGGCCCTGCAATGGTGGTGTTAATGGATTGACAGAGTTTGCGACGGTGGAAGGCAGCAACAGATATCTATATTACTCATGCAATAAAGAACATGGGCGTTGTGCATCTATTGAAGAAGGCGACAGGC